ATCAAATCGCAATGGGAGTCTATGAATTTATAAATCCAAATATATAAAAAATCTGCGAAACAAATAAAATAAAAAAAGAAAAATAAAGAAAATAAGTGGTAGGTATCAGGGTCGCATAAAAAGATATAAAAAAAGAACTACGAAATGTCTATCATCGGATGCGCTGCGGAAATGAACTCGTGCGAAGACGGGACGAGCCGCTAGTTAAAAATATAATGCAGTGAGTTTTATCGTTCGTCTCTTTACAATACTTATCGTATAATTAATATAAATTGCATTACATATTTATTTTGGAATGTAGACTTTACCCTGAAAAATTTAAAGTCGAATATCAAAAATCTTTGCTCGAGTTATTACACTTTATAATTAAATTTGCGATGTATTATCTGTATAATGTACATTATTATGACAATATTATATTACTTTTAGTGTCAAATAGCAGGTGTCATGGTAGCATATAGGGTCGGGTTTCGGTAGACTTAAAAATGTAGTAGACACGGCTGTTTATAACAACACTTTATTAGACCCCTCCGATCGATCCCCTGTCCAATTCAAACGGGGATCGATATTACGACGGCCTGAGCCGAGGTTCGTCGAACCCCTAGTGGTGCCCTCAGAGTAAAGTCGTAACCGTCAGGTAGGAGTTGGTCTTCAGCCGCTCCATAAGTCTTTCCGCGGGTTTGGAGTGCCATCTGCACTCGCCCCCTAACGTCCGGTGAAGCTGTAAAGGCCAGCTGCAGCCAACAGCATTAGAGTAGTCCGCAAAAAAAAAACTTTATTAGATGAACATCTGTTTACTCTTTCTTTATTTAAATTTAATGTTATTTGTCTATGTTTATAATGACTACATGGTTATTGTTTTCAATATTATTCATCATCATCATCATCATCATCGCAGCTCGGAAGACGTGCTCTGCTGGACATAGGCCTCCCACAGAGATCTCCACGACGATCAGTACTGCGCTGCTCGCATCTAATGCCTTCCAGCGATCTTGACCAGATCGTCGGTCCACCTTGCTGGAGGCATTCCCACGCTTTCAATATTATTACGATGTGGTAAATAGCCTCTCTCTAATCGATCCCCCGTCCAAATCAAACGGGCATAGAAATTACGACGGCCTGAGCTGAGGTTCATACCCCTGCTTGTCCATTTATATTATATATATAGAAATAAAAGTGCCAGGTCTATGTGATTACAAAGGCTTACGGTTCGCTATCAGCATTGGTAGAGCGCGCAAGTCGTGCCGCGATTTGGTGCGCCCGCGCATGTGACTCACGCGCATTGTGTCCTATAATTGTAAGTACGTTACAATTAATTTAAATTCTTTCAGTAACGTCCTATTGCTATAATGGCGACTATAAATAGCATGTTTTATACAGTCAATGGAGGTAATTTTATCCGGTCGCATTGACTGATATTTATCTAGGTAATTTATAAATTACTAGCTACTCACGGGTGTGCATATATTATATATATAACCTTCCTCTAGAATCACTCTGTTAAAAAAACCGCTTCAAAATCCGGTGCGTAGTTTTAAAGATTTAAGCATACATAGGGATAGACAGCGACAGCGACTTTGATCTGATCTAATATATGAAATTCTCGTGTCACAATGTTAGTTACCATACTCCTCCGAAACGGATTTATAGATTTTTATGAAATTTTGTGTACATATCACGTAGGTCTGAGAATCGACCGATATCTATTTTTCATACGCCTCGATGATAAAGGTTACCCACCCCTAATGTTTTTTTTTAATTTTTGTGACTATTCTTTTTTATTTTATTACGTTTTGACATTAAAAATATATACGATCCTAAATTTTCATTCTTATACCACCAACCCCTATTTTTAATAGCCATATTAGTAAATTTATATGTGATGAGACAGCTTTTCGAATGAGCGGTAGATTAAAAGAATGTTAACTATGACTGTTCATTCAAAAGTGCTTAAATTAAGTTTATTTGAATAAATTATTTTCTATTCTATGGAAAAACAACATTTGTCAAAACAGCTAGTACCTTTACAATAATATTGTTGTAATAGTTTTTACTCATATATATGTAATTAATAAATATATTTCCGTTTAATTATTAGTAATTATTTGCTATAAATTTATAATTAAAATAAAGAATTAAATAAGTGGGTAAATATATATATATATATATTGTACAATAGTTAGGTGATTTTTTTAATGCGGTATTGTCCATATTACGAGGTGTAAGATATAGCTTTCTCTAATTTAAAGAATTTATAAATCTTTTAAATATTTTTTGATCCAGTACAAATAAAATGTCAGAACTTTTCTATTTATTTTGTATTAATAAAATATTTAAAATTTTATTATTGCTGTGATTCAGTTTATTAATAATGTTGGTGATATATAATAATTAAAATTATAATTAAAATAGTTGATAAAAATATATAAATATCATATATTATAAATATATGATATTTATATATTTTTATCAACAAATAACATTTGTATTAATTAAAACATTTACATATATATTGGTTTATGAGGAAAATAAAATACTAATCTGTGACTTTTAATAATGTTGCATTTCAGTAATATTTTATTTATATATACAATTTTATAATTTAGATAAGATTATATATAGATAGCAAAGATTCTATTATATATGAATAATTATGTATATTTTTAATTATAAGTAGGTAATATTTGCAATTTAAAATTGCCAATTGTTGGGTAATATTCATTTCGTGATAATCGAGTTGTTCTGATGTATAAGCAATATTACTGTAAAGTTTCGTCAAAATCCGTTTAGATGTTTTTGCGTGAAAGAATAACAAACATCCATCCATACTAACAAACTTTCGCGTTTATAATATTAATAAGATCATAAAAATAAAACAGAAGTAATGCTACTTGTATTCGTAACCCGAGACTCGATACGTTTCTACAAGTGTTGCCAACTTATATCTTGACACCACCTCTAAATAATTACTGATTTATATTATTTTGTTTATTCCGCTACCTAATAATCGATAAAAATTCAATGTGGATACCAGACCACCGTTACTGGAAGTGTTATGATCTTCCCTATTACTGATTAAACGACCGTTATTGGATGTACACGTATATTGCAACACGTGTTTGGCTTCTAAACTAGTCGTCATCAGGTAATTAATAGAGTTTAGAAACTTAGTGTTGACTGTTCTGTGAGTCGCAATTTGGTCGCCGAATAAGTACTAAAATGGACTTCGGTAAAATAACATCTAATTTGTTAAAATATACACCTTTAAATCTATATAGACATTGACATAAACATAGACACCTATATGACATAGACACATATATAACTACATTATAAATAAATTGGCTTTTAAAAAAAGAAAAATATTCTGTTGAGTTTCTTGCCAGTTCTTCTCAATTGGATCTATATACTGAACTGGACGGTAGGGAAAAAATTATAATATAAAAAATTTGACGTTCATAAGCGGCTAAAATGTTCTACATGAATAAATATCTTTGAATTTGACAAAAATGGAAATATATATATTTTTTTATTTTATTTCATTATTTATTTAATTCAGGCTACATGGCCCATATTATAAATACCTTATAGACTAATAATAATAAAATATAAATAAAATTGTCTCTATGGTCACGGCACTGACAACGGCAATCTGCCACGGTAGCGCCGATAGACTACAGCCTTCGGCCAGTAGCCCTCTTTTATGAAGGTGGGCAGCATGTTGGTGGGAACTCGGGCCACGAACGCTTTGAAGCTCGCGTTGTGACTCGATTCCAGCTCACCCTCAATGTCAGGTTACTTTTGGTCCGGATATAGTCGACAATGTCCTGTTCTTTGTAATATTAATAATTAATTATAGAATAATCTTGTAGAATCTCTATTCTATTTCACCAGAAACTAATTACACCTTTTATAAATCTACCAGTCCTAGTGGTAAAATCACTAAAGTGGCAACACCATTTGCGGATGAGTAACGTGATTGGCTCGCTTCTCGTTTTGGCGACACTATTGTTCACAAAGGGCCCTGCTATATGAGGCGCAGGATGCGATCATCGTAATGGCGGTGTCCTTCTCTAATTAGCGTGAAGATAGCGGTAGCGACTGTTTGGGACTATTAATGATGATATAGAGCTGCCAAATGTATACTAATAATAAACCAGGACAATTGACACAGCGCCATCTAGTCCCAAGCTATGCAGAGCTTGTATTGTAGGTACTAGACAACATAGAAAATATCCGGATCGAAACAATCAAACGTCAAAAGTGATGCTTACTACAGTATATATTTAAAGCCACACCAGAATAATTTATATATATTCAGGTTACACACTTTCTGAACTTAGCGCAAAAACAACCCACAAATGAATCAAAAATTACTTTGTTTCTGTTCTGTTACATTTATTTAAGAGAGCAATACGCAAGTTTCTTGCTCTTTCTATTTGTGACGTCTGTATTCCGAATGAGTGGCTGAATAAAAAAATGTGACTATTCAAAAGTGTTTAATAAGTTTATTTCAATCAAGATTATTTTTATTTCTATTTAATTGTTGTGATTATAATAATAACTAGCGTTTGCTTTCCCATGGGGGTAGAATTAATCAATATCCTTTCTTAGCGGATGCCTACGTCATAACATCTACCTGCATGCCAAATTTCAGCCCGATCCGTCCAGTGGTTTGGGCTGTGCGTTATAGATCACTATGTCATTCACCTTTGAGTTATATATATTTAGATGCTTGTTTATTTATTTATTAGCATACAAAACATTACAATCAATACAATAATAAAATTAGGAGTATGTAGTTCGGTACAAAACTGGATTGTAATCCAACACTATGTATGCCTAAAAGCTAAATTATATAGACGCATTCAATATACGCTAGATAAGGTTATATAATAAAAAGTAAAAAATAATATAATAAAAACTAAATAGAAAATAATATATAACTACGTTATGTTATGAATCATTATGTTATTAATTGACATCGTAATTGTTTCCAGCAATATACAACTTCCCCGGGAGCGGCGCACACCACCTCTCCCTGGATGTGGGGGAGCTGGTGCACATTGAACGCGAGGCACACAAGTGGTTCTACGGCAGCAGCCTCAGGAAAGACGCCAAAGGCATCTTTCCAAAGAGCTACGTGGTTATACGAGAGAGCAATGTTGAAAGGTAATCCATCCAGTTATTGTCCTTCCTAATTGTTGTGTGTCTGGGGATGTAGGTACGCGACAAGCGAACAGTTTTTATATAGATAGAGTGATTCAAGAGGAAGGTTTATGTGTATGATTCTTGTACACCCGTGCGAAGCCGGGGCAAGTAGCTAATAGCTGTATTAAGTAGGTACGTGTCAACAACAAAATCACGAGTTACCTTTTTAGGTAAAAAAGTTATCACAATTGGTTTAAAGTTCTTCATCATCATCGCAGCCCGGAAGACGTCCACTGCTGGACATAGGCCTCCCCCAAAGATCTCCACGAGGATTGGTCCTGCGCTGCTCGCATCCAATGCCTTCCAGCGATCTTGACCAGATCGTCGGTCTACCTTGCTGGAGGCCTTCCCACGCTTCGTCTTCCGGTCCGTAGTCGCCACTCGAGGACTTTACTGCCCCAACGGCCATCTGTCCTACGACACACATTGGTCGTAAATGTCGGTCTTCTTCTGCGGATCTTGATTCGATCACTGCATAGAAACTCTGAGCTTGTTCAATAGTTCTCTAGTGCCGTAAGTCATCACTGGCAACACACATTGGTCGTATACCTTCGTCTTGAGACACTGCGGAAATTTAATTTTAAAGTTCTTAGTTTCAAGAATTATATGGATAAATTTCTTATATTATACCGTTAGAACCTAAAATATTTAAAATTGTCGATTTCTTATTGCTTATATGAAGATACTTGTTAGACGACCTTGCTATATGGAATGCTAAATTCGTCTTAAAAAAAGGATTCACCGTGTAGATGCAGGGTCCATCGTCTGGTAGGGAGGGAAACTTAGAGCAGTTCCCAGGACTCGTGACCCGGGTGTAGATTAAAGGACCGCCGACGAATTTCCATCACTCGCTCATTCATCTCAATGCGAGATGGAATAAATTTAATTGTTGGGTTCGTTGACCTACGATGATCTGTGTGAATCATATGCCACTGTAGAAATTATACATATATTGTTAGTATTGGTATTCTGTATGCGTTTTATCAACTCATTTCACACATCGCTTCAATCAAGGCATTCGTACTCGTATCATCTATATACATATATATAAAATTGGAGTGTCTGTTTGCAATATTGAAATATCCGTTTTTCACTACATACATATGAATATAAACACGGTACATACACCAAAATAATATTTTTTATAATTTTTGTCTGTCTGGTTGTTTGTTCCGGCTAATCTCTGAAATGGCTGGCCCGATTTTGACTTTTTTGGCAGATACTGATTAATAAGGAGTAACTTAGGCTATCTAGAGGAAGTATGAAAGTTGCACCGGTGTCAGAGAGATTGATGAGTAATCGTCTATCATGGTATGGACATGTAATGCGTAGAAATGAAGATAATATTTTAAGAAAGGTGTTACATATGAATGTGGAAGGTTATAAAGGTAGTGGAAGGCCGAAAAAGAGATGGATGGACTGTGTGAAAGATGATATAGTAAGAAAGGGAGTAAATAACGCGATTACTGCGAACAGGGATGAATGGAAGAGAAAAAGATTATGCCGACCACAAATAAATGGGATAAGGAAGAAGCAGATGATGAACTTAGGCTACCTTTACTTTAGAAAAATAAAGTTAAATTCCACGCGGACGAAGTCGCGGGTATAGCTAGTATCTAAATTAATCACTAGTGCCTGTTTTACCTCCATCCCGCTCTCGAACGTGTGGCGCTGCAGTCGCTATCGAGTTTTAGAGAAAATCAATGTACAATGTCACCGCTTTCGAATTCATAAGTGATACTTACAGAATAGCTCTACAGTTCTGTACTACCGTATGTAGGTAATATTGTTGTTATATTTTTATATGTCATTGGGTATTACATATAAATGACCATGTTGATGGAAAATATTCGAATACCACCTAAACTCCCTAGACCTGGTAAATATAATATATTTATAGAAAATCTCGCACTAATTTGGGCTTCTAATAAACAGTTTATTATTCAAAGATGTCAACATATTTAGATTATTTTAATGTCTCAATCGAATCCAGGTTTTATGTAGGTAGAATTTTAAGTTGTTATTTATGTTTTGTTAATTGTAAGCACAAGATTATTATATAAATGTCGTAGTAGCCTATAAAAAAAGATTGTAATGTAATATATATAATGTAACAGTGTTGGTGAAAACCTTGTTGGTGACCTAATAAAATAAAAAAAAAATGGTGTTTATGGAATACTTAATAAAGTTTATTATGTTGTAAACGATTATTTTAATAATCGATCCGAATGAGTGGTAGAATAAAAAAAAATGACTATTCGAAGATCGATCGGAGGAAAGCGAGTTGCATCGCGGCATGCAACTAGTCACATTCGTCCCATTTCAAGACCTAATTTTTATGGTCCTTGTGGTGACGAGGTGGGAATACAATATTACCATTCTTCGAAATTAGTAAGAAGTCACAACTAGAACAAAACTCAAATACGTCACTGTAAAACAAAACTCCAAAATAAACCCCTTTGGCCTGTCCTGTTTCCTCATATATTCGATCGCTAGAGAGTTGATTTGCTCTACACCATCAAATCTGGGCTTTCGCCCTTGAAATCGTGGTAGCATGCAAATGCGATCTCATGACTACGGTAAGTGTAGGTACCTTGAAATACACCGTGTATTTTTTTAGTGAGTGAAAATTAAACTAGTCAGAAGAAAATAAATTAACCATGATTGATGAAATGATGAGTTGTTGTGATGAAATTTCAGATGTGGAGAGACGGTAGTGGCGTCTGCAGGCGGTGTAGGAGTGGCTCACGATATTGCCGTCACTCTCCGAGATTGGCTGCCGGACTGGAAGAATTTATATATTGTAAGTTATATTATATAACCGATGGACACACATTAGCTTTTTTTTTGGAATTATTCTAATGCTGTTGGCCGCAGCTGGCCTTTATAGCTTCACTGAACTGTAGTGGGCGAGTGCAGATGGCACTCCAAACCTGCTGAAGGACATATAGAGCGGTTGATGGCCAACTGTCTGACGGATACGACTTTTATCTGAGGGCACAGTTACCCCTGGAAACCATCGTGATAAATTTCTGATGAATTTGTCACGATGGGCTAACTGACCTGACCTCATGCTCATCTTAGCATCCTCCACTGGTGCCCCGCCAGCGTAAACCGTTAGCGCAGGCGGGTGCATCATTTCATTATCATCACAAAAAAAACCTCGGCTCAGGTCATGATCTTCGCCGGCGAGGACTGTGTACAATTAGGAAAAATCACGGGACATTATCACGTATTAATTATTATTGAGTTCCCGATATTTCGGCTGTGTTTCAACCGCCATGATCATGGATAAACTGTGTGTTTAACGTTAATAATACTTATGTAAAATCAAAAAGACGACATGTTTTATTGCCTTAACAAAAACCGAAGGGTCAAGGTTTTAGAGATTAATATATTCGAACAAGTAATGACCGCTTAAAAATCTGGTGAAGGTTTTAGAGGCGCCTTTCCAACATATTAACACTACAGGTCATTTGAGAAGAACTGGATCGTTATACTAAAAAAAAAAAACAAAGTCATATTTATCACATTGTTGGATTTTTTTCAGAATAACGATGAACGATTCAAGTTTATGGAAGTAAGCATGCGTGCGCTATTCGAGTTGCGCGCTCAAGCCGTCAGCGGAGCCCTACCGCAGGACCAGCTGCGTAGGGTCGCCAGGACCGCTGTCTTTACAATTGACAAGGGAAACAGGTATATATATGTTTTATTACACACACAAACACACACACACATAGGCCCACCCCTCTCAATCATTTTCCGTCATTCTTTTTCCATAACCATGTACTCTCTACTCTACTCATTTACCTATTATTTTCGTTTTGTTTTATATATCTAAACATTGTATAATTATAGTTTATATAGTGTAGTATACGCATCATAATTTGTTTAACTTCCATCACATTATGCCTTTCCATCCATTATTAGTTATGCCTATCTCAGATACCAGCACCTCACAGGTGTTGGTACGATCGATCTGAGATCGAATCGATACAAATAATAAATTTAAGTATTTTTTACTATAAATGCTATATACTAATATATGTATTGTTGCCATCATGTTCGTGAGGAGAAATTAATAAATTATATTTTTTTTTAAATGAGAATGAGAAAATGAAATATGAAAATGAGATAACGAAGTTTATCGTTTCAGATAAACTTCGTTATCTCATTACTGTGGCTTTATCCCATTTTTTATCGTCAATGTAGCGTGTCATCAATGCATGCTAATAACTGCCTTTATATTCGTTTTTATTTTTGAATTTGTTAATGAATCTGTATTATTGTAAACATGTACAACATTTATTTGAAAAGCATACGAGCTGAGTTTCTTGTCAGTTCTCATGTCGATATCACTCCGAACTGGCGGTAGATTTGACATATCATAGGAGTCTGTAATAGACCGACGATCTGCATGAATAAAGATATTATGATTTTTTTGTCGACAACTAAAATGTAAAATAAAATCTAAAATGGCCAGATGACTTGTAGACCGTTCGTAGGTGTTTATGTAGATATTGTTGTGTACAGGACATTAGGTAGAGAGCTGGCGGTGAGGACGGCCAGCGGTCACCTCGTGGATCCAATAAAAACCTCCACGTTCAAACTGAACTCTCTGCACGATGATGCGAACGCCCGCATCGAAAAGAATATGGTGAGTTATAAACTGTAATTGTTATGGTCTAGTAGTTTAGTACGCTGCCTCACCTGCCAATGGTTGCGGGTTCGATCCCCGTCTATTTATACATTTAAATTTAGCATTTATCAAAGTATATCCTGATTATATATAAAAACTAGCTGTCCCGGCAAACGTTGTTTTGCCATATAAATTAATAACGCTATAAAAAAATAGGGGTTGATGATAGAAGGGTGAAAATTTAGGATTGTATGTATTTTTGTATGTTGTATCATAAAAAAATATAAACTAAAAATTTTGTCTAAAAAATAAAAATAAGAAATTTAGGGGTGGACTACCCCTAACATTTAGGGGGATGAAAAAAAAGATGTTGGCCGATTCTCAGACCTACTCAATACGCTCACAAAATTTCATGAGAATCGGTCGAGCCGTTTCCGAGGAGTATGGGAACGAAAACTGTGACACGAGAATTTTATATATAAGATTACGTGTCACGTTGTTTGTACGCGATGGTCTCCTAAACTACTGAACCGATTGCAAATTTGATGTACATTGTATGCAATTCGATCCAACTTGAATGGTAGGATTGCTTACATCTCAATTTATAGTCGCAATATTGTTTTATTCAAGAACCTTAACCACAGGAACGCGTGGCCGGGTCTGCTAGTACATATATAGTACTTATATATTGCTAATGTAGTGTTAAAACCTCATAAACTTCTATAGCAAAACCAGCTAACTATTATTAATATTATATTTTACCGATGCGTTACATTGATTTATTTTTTTACTACCCGTCACAAAATTATATTCACTCATCAAATCACTTAGTCACTAAACTTGCATACTGTAAAATTTTATCTGGTTTTTGGGCCCCCTCCGATCGATCCCCCGTCCAATTCAAACGGGGATCGAAATTACGACGGCCTTAGCCGAGGTTCGAACCCCTAGTGGTGCCCTCAGACTAAAGTCGTATCCGTCAGGCAGGAGTTGGCCTTCAGCCGCTCCATAAGTCCTTCCGCGGGTTTGGAGTGACATCTGCACTCGCCCCATAACGTCCGGTGAAGCTGTAAAGGCCAGCTACGGCCAACAGCATTAGAGTAGTCCGAAAAAAAAATGGTTTTTGGGTACAATGGGACTGACATGTACTTAGATGGTACAAAAGTCCCTAAATTTAAAAAGAAATTAAAAAAAAATGTTTTTTATTGAAATACAAGGATATTTAATTACTTTTTTTAGTATTTTATTGCTCCACGTGTCATATGTACTAAACAAAAGACTTATAACTTTTTATAACTTTTCTTCCAATATTGTTACCATCATTACACCTCTACCAGACGCAAATCTAATCACTTCTCACCATCCTAAGTTTGCCTGGAAGAGATCTCTTTTTAGCGATAAGGCCGCCCATTGTTACCTCTTTGTCTTGTTTATTGTATTATATATTTTTTTTATCATTTTATACATAATTGTATATATAATTGTATTTTCTGTGAGAGGAACAATAAAGAGTTTCATTCATTCATTCATTCAAAAGATATATTTTAATAAATAGATCCATTATCTCAATGTCTGTATTTCTAACGTATAAACGATACTATTAATCCCAATATGCTTGTAAGAACAAAATAAATTAGCCTTGTTAATTACAGCAGACCATGTTGTGATTAACATTGCTTATTTCCTTTATATCTACATTAGCTTTTACTTCGCTCGTGTTAATTTATTCCCTTAGAGGTGGAATTTATCAAAATCCATTCTTAGGTGATGCCTACGTCATAGTAGCTGTATGCATGCAAAGTCTCAGCCCGATCGGTTTAATATTGACAAAGTTTCATACAAACTTTCATCCCCTATTTTATCCCCTTGGGGGTAGAATTAATCAAAATCCTTTCTTAGCGGTTGCCTACGTCATAACATCTATATGCATGCTAAATTTCAGCCCGATCCGTACCGTGGTTTGGGCTGTGCGTTGATAGATCACTATGTCAGTCACCTTTGAGTTATATATATTTAGATTTAAAGTTTCGAGTCGCAGAATCTTATAAATGGTAATTTTTTTCTTGAATGAATCTGCTTCTTGGGTTAAAGTTTCTAGTCACATGATCTTAAAAATGGGTATTCTTTTTCTAGACTGAATATGCTTCTGTATAGGTTTTGGTATAATCACAAAAGAGAGTTTTGAATAAATTTAACACGTTGAAGATCACATTAAGAAAAATATTTCTCACATTGGCCATTTTTTTTTAATGGTAATTACGTATATTATTTTTTAAATATGTTTTTAGTGTACTATGATTTGAGTTAGACATTATTTAACCCCTAGATTTATTTCAATTAAAGTGCCCACTGGTGATCACGCGGTCGCAACGTGTAAATATACTTTTTTTGTGGAGTGACCCACTGGTGGGAATGTGGTCTTTAGCGTGTTAAATGAAGATTAAATTTGAAGAATTCGTTAACGATGATAATGTTTTTATAGAAAAACTTAAAATCCATAGCACTGACAATATTATCTGATTACACTAATAATGAGTGCGTAGCGATTTCTATGTTGATTATCGCATGCCTCTTACTTGTTATACTGTAATTATTGTATAAAATAAACATCTATTCAAAAGAGCAACACACAAGTTTCCTGCTCATTTTTCTTGTGATGAATCTGCATTCCGAATGAGTGGTAGAATCAAAACATGACTGTTAAAAAGTGCTTGTAATGAGTTTATTTGAATAAAGATTATTTTTATTTCTATTACTTTTTTTTTTCAGGAAACAACTCCAGCTACTCCGCCTCCACCTGCACTACCGGCCAGTGCTCGAACGTACACGTTGGCGATACGAGTCAACAATTTCGTTTGTAGGATATTGGACAGGGCGCAGTTACTTCTCTCGTTGTATGACGGCGCTGGTAATAAGATCACGGAGAATTTACTGATCAACTGGCCACAACCGAATTTCAACCCTGTGCAAGCTGTATTCACGGTGAGTTTTTAATTGCTCTGTTATTGTAGAAAATCGAGGTTTTGGAGACCAGAAGCGTTTGTACTTATTGAATGAAATACAGTTATGAGGTTATAACCGTATATTGAACGAATGCAAAACCGTATCGAATTTTTTTTTTCGGACTATTTTTGCCCGCAGCTGGCTTTGACAGATTCACCGGATGATAAAAAAAAACATATCTCTATATAAGGTACAACAGAAACACATATAGCGCGTTTTAGAAATTTTGATGAAAAAATACAGCGCCATCTAGTTGTACTGGTATGAAACAATATTGACTTGAACAGTTATTACTATTAAAGGGTTGATGCAGCTTGATTTTTTTTTAATTTTATTTCAGCACAAACAGTCTATTTAACTGTGATAATGTATTTTATAAATGATTGTAGTAATAAATTGGATTTTAACTTAGACTTGGTATTATACTGTAATTGTTATATAAATAATGTAATTTAAAATAATTTAATATCGAATATTGTTGATATATTCAATAAATATTAATAATATTAATCTTAATAGCGTCTGTTAAAATATTTAACCAACTTCCAACGTCTATAAGAACTTTAAATAAGAATAGCCTATTTATAAAATACTTAAAGGATTTACTATGTAAAAAACAATATTATAATGTAAGTGATTATTTGAATGATGTATTTTAGTTTTTATGTAACATTTAATTAATGTATATTATAATATATAACTGGATGAATAATATTAAATTATATGTTATAACTAGTTATGATAATAGTAATAATAATGTTATGTTTGCGTGCCCTAACAGGGTCCATAATGATCGAAAACGTATTATAAACATCTTTCATTGTAATATTATGGAATGCAATAAATATTAAGTATTGAGTATTAATAATACAGTGGACCCGCGGTAATCCGGCCCCTGTCTAATCCGGCCCCCCTTGTAATCCGACATTGTCTATTATTTGTTATTGAATATTACTTTGACAATATACTTCAGAGTGCATATACATACATACATATATAACATACAATCTTATCACTGGATCTGTAATTTGTCGGATTACAAGATACTCTTTTGTAAAAAATTCCGGACTATAAGCAGAGGACCCTTAAGCAGCACTCTATAATCCGACAAATACGATGGTCCGACACTGCCCTGCAAAACGTTTGTCGGATAACCGGGGGTCCACTGTATATGTATATAATGTAAAGAATCATCATTGGATCTATAATTTGTCGGATTACAAGGTACTCTTTTGTAAAAAAATTCAGACTATAAGGGGTCTTAGGCAGTACTCTATAATCCGACAAATTCGATAGTCCGACACTGCCCTGCAAAATGATTGTCGGACTACCGGGGGTCCACTGTATTATAAACGCGAAAGTTTGTGAGTATGGATGTTTGTGACTCTTTCACGCAAAATCTACTGATCGGATTTTGATGAAACTTTACAGTAATATATGCATGAAAATAATATATAGGTTATATTTTTATTGAGATTTATACATTGAAATTGAAATTATCCTGGGTGAAACCGTGGGCACAGTTAGTTAATTATAAAGTTATAAGATAATTGACACGCCAGCAGGGTTGGCAGGTTTAGATTAATGATAACTTTATAACCTTTATGTATGTTCATATACATGTATGGGTATATAAATTGAATTTCTTTTCAGGATTTACCATGTGAGATAAAGAAGGAAAAAGTGTTTCTAGTGTGCCATATTGTGAGGATAGGGTCCATGGAACCTCAGTCTATAGACTACAGGTAATGTATATAAAATTCTCTTGTCACAATGTTAGTTACAATATTCTTACGAAACGGATCGACCGATTTTTATGAAATTTTATATGCTTATCAGTAGGTCTGAGAAGCGGCTACTATCTATCATATCTTATTATATTCCTAAATGATAAGGGTTGTCCACCCCTAAGTATATTTTTTTATTATGTGGATAAAAAAAATATTTGTTATTTTTTTATAATGTGGCGTTAATCAAAGATATGACTGGGTGGTCTAACGGTTTTGCACACAGCATTGCTTATTATTGTCCAGGTTCGATTCCTCAAACGCCACAAACATTTGTATTCATGAGTATGATTGTTTGTATCGGTATGGGTGTTTTCTATGTATACCATGTATGTATTTACGAAAATAAAATATATCTATTTATTTGTATCATTTATGTAGTACCCATAACACAAGCTTTAGCTTAACTCGGGTCTAGATGGCTCTATGTGAATTGTCCTGAGATTATTACTATTACAGATAAGATAATATTACATACAGATACCCCATTCCAGACAAGAAAATTCGTTCCAAGCAAGAACCTGATATAACATTTTGGACATGTAATACGTTTCTCGTGTGTATGATTGACTCTCACGTTTGTTTACGTGCGCAGACGCAGCTCAGTAGCGGTGGGCGCGGGCGCGGGCGCGGGCGTGGGCGCGGGCGTGGGCGGGGGCGCGGGCGGGGGCGCGGGCGCGGCGGGCGGGGCGGCGGGCGCGGGCGCGGGGGCGGGGCTGCGGCGGCCGGGGGGCGTGGCCGCCGCTGACGTCACGCGACAGCTCGCAAGCGACCACCCCTCCAAGGAGATACAGCTGCCCTTCTACCCGTAAATATGCCTTTATATCTAGCTCATCCAGCAACTTGTCATTTTTTATATAAATAAAATCTTTTCTTTATTCATATAAGTCTATTTTTTGTAAGCTATGATGGTGTCAAACAAGCATACAAAGCTGATGGTAAATAGTACCGTAGCCTATAGACGCCTGAAACAATAGAGGTGTTACGTGAGTCTATTCCAGGCTCTTATGATATGTCAAATCTACCATCAGTTCGAAGCGCTTTAGAGCCAAGAACTGTCAAAAACTCAGCTCTTATTCTTTTCAAATGAGCTTGTACATGTTTATAAAAAAATAGATTCATTTTTAAGTTCAAGGGATAATAGAATGACCACCAGCATAATGCAATATTGTGTATCTCGGCACATTACGTTTAGCGCGGGAAAATAAAAGAGACTTTTCTGCAGACATACAGATATATTGTTTTCTTCATTGTTAATTATTTTACTTTATTGTATATACTTGTTTGGCTGCAATAGGCTTTTAATTACATATACTGCCACTATTAACAGAAGGTCATAATCCACCAGTAGCAGTGGTCAGATTACCGCATTGAATATTAGTGGTGTCACACATATATGGTAACAGAATGAAACAAAATAATATGAATGCATTAAGTAATGTAACGCTATTCCCTGTATTATTACTGGCTTCCGCCCTTTAACCAAAATGTCCTACAAAATATGCTGCTTACCAGTACTTATGAAATAAATGTATCCACGCAGGTGACTTTAAAAAGTCTAATTCTTACTCTCCTTGACTAATATATCGCACCTCTAGATCTAAACAGGTATTAACTCAAAGAAACTCATTTTACAGGAAAGGCAAAAAACTGATTGCCAAGTCCCTTTGCAGAAGTTTTTTTTGTATAGATGTGTGAACATTAGTTACAGTTGGATATGATAAATATCAAGATTTTTGGGATTTAATAAAGGGTTGCATCTTAATATTGAATTTTTATAGTTGTTTCCTTATAGCATATCAATGAGTGTATATTGGCATTGTCGCTGTTTTCGATGCGTGGGGGGTGGGGTCGCTCGTTCAACAAAATAGGTATACAACGTCACCTAAGGTTGAATATGGGAAATAATTTTGAACCTGCTTTATTGGTCGATAGGTATTGAAATGACAAAGTCGAAGATGTCCAGAACACAAAAATTAAGATTTTTGAGTTAGTTCCCTTTAGATCTAGAGGTGCGATATATTCACGAGATTACAGCGTGGAGTTTTTCAAGAAGAGTATATTAAGGTTTCTTAAGTGTTGACAACGCGCACGTGACAGACACCCTTGGTGTTTCAGGCGTCGGGTCTTTTCGTCGTCGTTTGCCACCTACGTGGTATAAAAAAAACTAATATATGTACATTTCAGTTGTGAGAAAGAGAATATGGACTCATTACTGAAGAAGGTGATGACGAATCGAGACCTCAAAGACACAAAGCACTCGCAGGCACTGTGGGTGGTGCTGCAGCTGGTTGAAGGGGACCTTAGACAGGTAATATCATCAACTATAATATAAAAAGAAAATAATTGTCAGTCTGTAGATGAACTAGTAGTTCCTGAGATTAGCGCGTTTAAACAAACAAACAAATAAACTCTTCAGCTTTATAATATAGTATAGATTTAAGATTAGATTTATGAATTAATCAATAATCTTGCAGATCCGAGAAGAAAACCCGCACTTAGTTGTTGGTAATACAGCCATCGCCCGCAAGATGGGATTCCCTGAAGTCATAATGCCGGGTGACGCCCGTAACGATCTCTATGTGACACTCGTCTGCGGATCTTTTTCTAAAGGGAGCAAATCATCCGATAAAAATATAGAAGTCACCGTCAGGGTTGTCGATAAAGATGGAAATATATTCCCGGTAAGAAGAATATTTTTCTGTTTGATATTAGATTCTTAGCATTCCATGGATTCACCGTGTGGGTGCCGGGTCCATCGTGTGGTAGAGAGGGAAACTTGGCGCAGCTTGGGGACTTGTGTCCCGAGTGTAGGTTTAAGATACTCGACGTACGGCAACACTCAACTTCACCGCTCGTATTTCTCTCTGCCCAGCCATGTCTGGTGCCTGCTAGTGCACTTTTCCTACACCCATACCTTTATCGTCCGGTGAAGCTGTAAAGGCCAGTTGCGGCCAACAGCATTAGAGTAGTTTGAAAAAGAAAAAAAACGCCATAGCTTTACGTCTTCTAAAACAACTACTTCAAGGTCCTTTATCGTCCGGTGAAGAAACAGCATTAGAGGAGTCTGAAAAATAAAAAAAATCCATAGCTTTACGTCGTCTAAAACAACCACCCCAAGGTCCTTTATCGTCCGGTGAAGAACCAGCATTAGAGGAGTCTGAAAAAGAAAAGAAAACCCTTAGCTTTAAGTCTTCTAAAACAACCACTTGAAGGTGACATCTATATAATCTATATCAATTGTTTTTTTCCAGGGTGTGGTCTCGGTAGGCGAGGGTTGGTCACGAGTGGATGAGTATACCTCACTAGTGTACTATCACGACGATCGACCACGCTGGCAGGAAGTATTCAAGGTAAACGTTTTATTTATTACAGGAAATCCAGGGCTATACGAAAAATACGAAAAATAAACTAAAACACACTCAGGCTCAAGGAGAACAATTTCCGGTCTAAAACTTTTAGCTTAATCCTTAATAATCATATCACATAATTGACTTGGTTACATTTGAGTTGCAATGAAAATGTAGACTAGTACCACACTGGTAAATGAGACAACTGCAATGATTCTGGTAGCTCCATTTGACTCAGCAGAATTTGACTGCCTAAATTGCACTCCAGTTTCCGTACTTGGCTCTTTATTTTTAAGCATTTTGAAAATCCTTAAAGAGCCAAGTATGGACACTGGAGTTTAACTTACATCGCAAAATTTCGTGACTGCGTATATCAACCTTAGTTCAAAATTCTTAAAAAGTAAAGAGCTAAGGGTGGAAAAGGGTGTTCTACTTACATCCCAAACTTCCGCAATTATTGCGCATAAAATTTATTGTAAAAGTAGATGAACAGATATTATATTGTATGCACAGATTTGCCTCAACATCGAAGAGTTCAAGGAGGCTCATCTAGTGTTCCTGTGCCGGCATCGTAGCTCCAATGAAGCAAAGGATCGTGCCGAGCGACATTTCGCTATCTCCTACCTGCGGCTCATGCAGCGCGAGGGCACCACCACGCCAGATGATACACACAACCTCTGTGTCTACAAGGTACATTGATATGGACACACATGCTCTAACTTTACTGGCTAATGACGGAATATGCTGATTTTTCTCACTAAATTGGTAATTGTATGACTATTGTTGCGCACAAATTCATGTCTTTGGCTTGTCTGTGCATCTTCATAAGTTCTTAATGGTTTATAGTAAAACTTTCAGGTATCAAAGACCCTTTTATTATATAGTTTTCTCTCATGTTTATATTTTTTATATTATCTACGTTACTGCGTATATCTAAAAATACTGTTTTCTGGAAGGCCTTTGATAGAGTCACCACCAAATTCTTAATAGGAATATTTATGTGCTTTTGTACTGATATCTCTATTTATATGTCTATTTACGTAATAGTCTTATTTTCTCATGTTACATTAGGTAATTTTGTCACATACATTAGGGGTACGTCAAGGACATATACTCGGACCAGTCTTTACTTCATGGAATTAATAAGAATGTAAACTTAATCAATGAAATGTAGTAAACGGAGAATAATGCGAGCGTATGGGTGTCGGCAGATCGAGAACAAGCGCGGCGCGGCCGGCGTGGAGCGGGAGGCGGCCGCGGCGTGCCTGGCGCTGCCCGCGCGCCGCGCCGACCTCCCCGCCGGCGCCGAGCGCGGCCTCACGCGCGGCGTGCTGGCGCTCGCGCCGCGCGACGCGCTCTCCGTCGCCACCAAGCTCTGCTCCACCAAGCTCACGCAGCGAGGTACCCCCCGCCCCCCGCCCCCCCGCCCCCCGCCCCCCGCCGGCGCCGAGCGCGGCCTCACGCGCGGCGTGCTGGCGCTCGCGCCGCGCGACGCGCTCTCCGTCGCCACCAAGCTCTGCTCCACCAAGCTCACGCAGCGAGGTACCCCCCGCCCCCCGCCCCCCCGCCCCCCGCCCCCCGCCGGCGCCGAGCGCGGCCTCACGCGCGGCGTGCTGGCGCTCGCGCCGCGCGACGCGCTCTCCGTCGCCACCAAGCTCTGCTCCACCAAGCTCACGCAGCGAGGTACCCTGAGCGTGTCTCACTTCCTCCGTCGGCGCTGAGCGTGGCCTCACTTCCTTATTCGGCGCTGAGCGTGGCCTCACTTCCTCCGTCGGCCCTGAACATCCCCTACGATACGATACCTACAATATAATCCGATAAAAACAACAATTTGATGATTTAACCTATAATATAATACCTATTCCCCCGCCCCCCCGCCCCCGCCCCCGCCGGCGCCGATAACGCGCGGCGTGACTGTTGTCCACCGCGCGAGATCCTCCGTCGCCACCAAGCTCTGCTCCAGCTCACACCATGAGAGGGTTCGCCGCCCCGGTGCCCGCCCACCAACCTGATGCTGGTGCCGAGTGAGGAAATCGTGAAATTCCTCCAGGATATACTTGATGCTCTCTTCACCATATTGACCTCGGTAAGTTTTCTTACCTCATAATTAGTTTCTTTAAGCCTCAGAGAAAGAGTATCTCACTGCAGTTTTTTAAGAATTTTCTGTGAATTTTTTCTGTGAAAATGCCAAATAGCAAAGTTGATATAAATTAATAGTTATTGAGTATTCAATTAGTCATAGTTAACAGAGCAGACCAGTCCCTACCAGCAGCACCCATTCACGAATATAACGCGTGAGATGTTGATGTTATCATACTATATTTAGGTGGAAGAAGACCGCAAAACCTACACGGAGAGCAGTTACGCCGGCGCTAGTTCTGGACTGCGCGCGTGTGATATCACGCCGCGCGAGCTGATCACAAGTATCAACAAGCTTCCAGCCCGTATTACAGGTGTATATAGCCCCCCGCCCCCCGCCCCCCGCCCCCGCCGAAGCAGCAGTTTATGCGCGAGTATTTTTTTTGTACTACGCCGCGCGACAAATCTCCGTCTCCATCTGCTCCAACTCACGCAGCGTATGCCCCCCGCCCCCCGCCCCCCGCCCCCGCCGGCGCCGAGGTCTAAATCACGCGCGGCGTGTCACGCGCCGCGCGTTGCGCCACCAAGCTCTCCTTCAGAAACGCGCGGCGTGCTGGCAGCATTTCATTAATTCCACAATCTAAGCTGTAGTCACGCAGCGAGGTACCCCCGCCCCCGTGTAAGGCGTGGACTCCTCACGCGCGGCGTTTTGGCGACTACGCGCCGCGCGAGGTTTTCATTAATAAATCTGCTATAAAGACTATTGCTAATAATATAATTATTTACCCCCGCCCCCCCGCCCCCCATTACTATGCCGGCGCCGACTTATTACGCGCGGCGTGCTGGCGCTCGCGCCGCGCGATGGCTCTCCGTCGCCACCATTACATTACTGACTCCACTTATTACGACTAGTGGTCGCCCCCCGGTCCCCCGCCCCCCGCCCCCGCCCCCCCGCCGGCGCCGAGCGCTATGACTTACACGCGCGGCGTGCTGGTCGCGCCGCGCGATGGTCTCCGTCGCCACCATCTACTCCACTATGACTCACGCAGCGATTATGACTAGCCCCCCGCCCCCCGCCCCCCGCCCCCCGCCGGCGCCGAGCGTGGCCTCACTTCCTCCGTCGGCCCTGAACGTCTCCTACGATACGAGACCTACAATATAATCCGATAAAAACAACAATTTGATGATTTAACCTATAATATAATACCTATTCCATAACGATGACTGTTATCCACAGAGGAGATCCTATTATGACTGAGTGGTCGCCGCGGTGGTCTAAATGATGCTGGTGCCATAATTAATTTAAATTTGAACATTATTAAATTTCTAATTCAGATTACTGCTACACAACTTTATTTTTATATTCCTATTCTATATTACAGACTTTAACGATAAATAAAAGAGTATCTCACCGCAGTTTATATGTAATTGAAAAAGCCAAATAGCAATGTTGATATAAATAAATAATTATTGAGTAACAAAATCAGTTAACAGAGCAGATCATTCCCTACCAGCAGCACCCATTCACGAATATAACGCGTGAGATGTTGATGTTATCATACTATATTTAGGTGGAAGAAGACCGCAAAACCTACACGGAGAGCAGTTACGGCGTGCTAGTTCTGGACTGTTTGTTGCGTGTGATATCACTGGTAGCTGATCACAAGTATCAACACTTCCAGCCCGTATTACAGGTGTATATAGAGCAGAGCTTCTGTGAAGCAGCAGTTTATGAGTGAGTATTTTTTTTGTACTACGACGGTGACAAATCATAGTCTCCATCTGGTAAACTGGTACGGTGTAGTCTGTGGAGGTCTGAATCACAAGGTGTCACGTACACGTTGCCGCTCCTTCAGAAACCTTTAAAAACAGCATTTCATTAATTCCACAATCTAAGTGTAGTGTGTAAGTGTGTGAACTCCCTTCCGAGATTTTTTTTGAGACTACAGCATGAGGTTTTCATTAATAAATCCAATATATAGACTATTGCTAATAATATAATTATTTACACTGGTAGTGACTTTACATTACTATGACTTACACTTATTATGACTAGTGGTCGCCCAATGGTTTAAATCGGACCATTACATTATTATGACTTACACTTATTATGACTAGTGGTCGCCCAATGGTCTAAATCAACATTACATTACTAGAGAGACAATTATTATGACTAGTGGTCGCCCAATGGTCTAAATCGGACCATTACATTACTATGACTTACACTTATTATGACTAGTGGTCGCCCAATGGTCTAAATCGGACCGTTACATTACTATGACTTACACTTATTATGACTAGTGGTCGCCCAATGGTCTAAATCGGACCATTACATTACTATGACTTACACTTATTATGACTAGTGGTCGCCCAATGGTCTAAATCGGACCATAATTAATTTAAATTTGAACATTATTAAGTTTCTAATTCAGATTACTGCTACACAACTTTATTTTTATATTCCTATTCTATATTACAGACTTTAACGATAAATAAAAGAGTACATATGCTTATATGTAATATTTTTTTTATTAATGTAATTTTTTTTTTATAATTTAAAAAAATATTAGCATAACTGTACTCCTTTTCTATATAAACTAAGAGTGTAGTATATATGTACTGTATATAAAGTATGAGTGTGTGAACAAAATTTCATACTCTTCCATCTGCGGAATTTTCCTAAAAACGGATACAAAGTTTTTGCTTCAAGTATCCATATGTAGATTTCTTTTGGTCCTTCGCTATCCGGATTATTTCGCACTCATCTCATTGTGCCGTCTCGTTCGTACAGGAATCTGATTTCTGTGATAATATGGGTCATCCGTATGGCGGAGAACGACGAGGTGGCGCTGAAGCGGCTGCTCATCTGCATGAAGTGCGTCGAGAGCCTCTTCAGGGTGATCGTCCGCAGTCGTCAGTTGCGGAGCAAGCTTTCATACCACGCACCTGACTCATTCAAATCGCATTTTGAGGTCAGTTTATATAGTTTTTGAAGAAATTGGAAGCTGATGGAAAGTGATAACGCTTATCTATGTAACTAAGGTTATATTAGAATAGAATAGAATAGAAAATCATTTATTCAAATAAACTTAATTTAAGCTCTTTTGAATAGTCATAGCAATTTGTTTTTTATCTACCACTATATCAACATGCATTATAGAGAGAAACTTCTTAGCATTTCATGGAGTTACCGGGCGAAAGCAGTGTCCATGTCTTAGCGAGTTAGAGAGGGAAATTGCGAGCAGGACTGGGACTTGTGACCCGGGTGTAGGTTAAGAGGGACCTTGAAGACGTAAGTGATTATCGTCGTCCTGAGCATTCAGAGGATAAATTGCAAGTGCGTTGCCCGCTTTTTAAGACTAAGACACTAAGCTCTTTTCTTAAAGGTTTCAATATCATACAACAACAATTTCATATGGTTTTAATGTCATATTGATTCGGAAATACTATGCAGGAAGGTGATTCCACAATGCGGTTGTGCGTGGCAAAAATTTGTCTGGAAAAATGCACAGTGGAAATACGGTATTTATTAAAAAGTTTTTGTATATGTGTTAAATAGTTGTGTTATCTATGCTCCTCAGGATCTTCTGGAGGCGCTGGTCTGGCTGATGCGTTGCGGAGACCACGCCCTCACGTGCCAGGGCTCCGCCCTCAAGTACCTGCCTCATGCTGTGCAGCATGTCCTCAAAGTGTACCCCGACACCGATCTCAGGTTTTTATTATATTGGATCCTTTTTATTATATTGCCTGTTAAAGATAGAATACTGTAGATTCTAGATGAGATATGGTCATACGAGGAAACAATAGAAAATTTGCTTTGTTTTCATCCTAGAACCTTTAGTCTAGTTTGGTCGGCAAGAAACTTGGGTGTAATTAATGAAATAGAAATAATCTTTATTCAGATAAATTTAATACAAGCACTTTTGTATAGTCATATTTACTATTCTATCACTCATTTGGAACGCAGATTCATCACAATAAAAATGGGCAAGTAACTTGTGTGTTGCTCTTTTGAATAGATAAATATGAAACTTATGAATAATAATTTCTAACCAAGAATAACCAAGATTTTTTTATACTACGACTGTGGCAAATAAGCATACGGCTCATCTCATAGTAACCAGAGACAAGATAGAATAGTTTAAGCCTATAATATTTAAATAAATATTGTTTAATTTCAGCGCATTCTTCGTTAAAGCACTAAGCGCTTTATCGATGAATAAGCTGAGCAAACAACGTATGCTGGCCCTGTTGGAACTAGTTCGAGGGCCGCTTTGCCTCTCGGCAGCAGCCAGATCTCGCCTCTTACCCCATCTAGCGGACACTGTATGTGTACTGTTGAAGGAAAAAGCCGAGGTCAGTTTACGTAATACTCAATACATGTATACATACATGGTTTTATTTACGACTACAATTTTCATTTACATTCAATAATTTTTATGTTATTTATATTGTTAACTGGGTTTTAATGTGAATAATTTTATGGTAAATAAACCTCTCGGCGGTTCGACTAGTTTGCACCAGTTAAGTTAACAATATGAATAATGTGTGTTAAACACGAAGGTTTATAAATAACTATTAAATTCAACGATATTAATCAAACACATTTGCAATCATATTAGTACTTACATTCATATATAAACAACTAAAATGTACATCATTACATAATCTTTACTCACCTAAATAAGACTCAACATATGAGGCAATATGGTTCAATATAGCACTCAAGGTTATTTGATTGCCAGAATATTTTGCAATGAATATTATAATAACGGCTTCTATGCGATTCTGCTTTCACATATATTGTGCGAGAAGTCTCTACGTCCCCAAAATCAATTTAGATAATAAGAAAAAATCTTTACATTTACATGTCCCTATCATGCAATGAAATTTGCCGAGCTAAATCATCATCTCAGCTTGGAAGATGTCCACTGCTGGTCAAAGATCTACACGACGATCGGTCCTGCGCTTCTCGCATCCAATGCCTTCCAGCGATCTTGACTAGATCGTCGGTCCACCTTGCTGGAGGCCTTTCCACTTCCCAATTAATAAAATAAATATACATATGTTTCAAACAATAAGTATCTGGTACGATCCTAGAATATTCCAAATATCGTAAACCCACTCAGATATCTTTGGCTTTAATATGTAACATTGCTTTGAATAATTCTCGATTGTAATAAATTTTAATCGATAGATTTATAATATCATTTGAAAGCTGTAGCTCAGTACATAATTGCAACTATGAAATGGTCTTGATATAATTGCAAATTGGTAGATTTATTATCTGTTTCAAATGAGAATTGTTTATTACTGTGTTGTATAAATTTAAGCAACTATCCTTTTTACTGTGGGAGGTACAGAAAGGGATGGGGATATAATTTATAAAAATATATATTATTGCCCGATTTTTTACTTGTAAATTGAATTATTGTTATTTTTGAGAGGGGAATACCATATTGTGTTTCTCATCTCTCAACAATAACTCAACAATTTTCTTCTAGAAACTATCGTGGGTTAACTAAGTGTTTGTTATTCAACTGGTTTTAAAATCAAATAACGTTGCGGTCTCTATTGGACGGAGGGCTGTATTTTAGTGTTGTTTTTATAAATTAGTTTATAGTATTACAAGTATGTCTTATTCATAAAAATTGAGAAATCCTTTTAAAGTATCAATGCTATATTATTTAAGAAATTAGGTAAACGACAATAATTCAATAGCTTGAAAAGATGCTTTATGGTTTTATGAATAAGGTTTTATTTCATTAAAGGACTATTCTGTCATATGTATATGTAATGAATTAAAGGAGTCTCATGAATAGTATAATCTATATTACATTATTTCTATTCTATTAGAACTGCGATAAGGCCGCCGTTTACTTAGTACATTTATGTAACGTTATTTTTTTGTAAGCATTTTTCTGTGCACAGTAAAGAGTTATATTATTACATAATTGTACTGGTTAATAAAATTACTATTTAAAATTATATTAATACTATATAAAAAATAATTATTACATTACCTTTTCTATCTATATCATACTTTTATTAGGGTGTTATCTGTCCTTTAATGAATTATTACTTGATCGTTACAATTTATATTGACTATGACTACCTGTGAGTGCGTACGATTATGTATATGTAGTAACACTGTCCGTCCGTACACTGGTATGTACTCGCACCTGATAACGGTATGTATGTTTATAACTAGTGTGTTACGTTGTAGTACGGTTACAAATGTATGTACTTTGTAATTTTTTTTAACGTTGTCAAAATTGAGGCTGTCTAATTTTGCAAGATTTTGACAGTTTATTGTCGTCGTATATATACTGTCATTACTATTTGTATATTGCTATATTGGCTACCATAGTATGTGTAATACTTATTTTTATATATTCGCGTTTAGTAAACTAGATTAATATAGTTAACCAGGGTTTAACAGGAATAATTATATGGTAAATAAAGGTATTTACCTCTCGACGTTTCGTCTAGATTACACCTTTATTTACCATAAAATTATCCGTGTTAAAGCCCGTTTTAATTATATTAATAATATTCTGTATAATATTTTTACTTTCACTTAGACAGTCTTTATTTATTAACAAAAGCCACAATAATAGGCCAAGTTCATTTGGAAATTTATACAATGTTTAAAATGACAATTATCTAAATTATTCTAAATTAACTACTTTTACTAAAATCCTACAAAGGCCCATCATCAGCAAACATCAACCGTTAAATACTATTAAATTATAGTATATTTATATTGTTTTTTTATATATTTTAATATACATTTTTTCGATTAAATGAAATGGCCGTTTTAGTGAGGTATGGTCCACAATAGTCCATTAATCAGTATATATCATTAAACTATATTTATATTGATTTTTTATATATATTTATATGTATTTTAAATATACAATTATTATATTAAATGATATCGCCGTTAATAAAATAAACAGAAATTTTATATAATAAATTTAATTATAAACTCATCTGTAACCGTACTACAAGAAGCAGCAGGCGAGTTTGTGTCCGTCCGTACGTCAGCGACGAGGTAAGCACGCACGCCGATGCATGCGGCCCGATAGCACTATTTACATGCATGTAATTATGTGGAATATTGGGGGGTAGATCTTTTAAAATATTATTCTGTCTATAGATACTAACGTGTTAAAGTAACTTTTGTATAATCCAGAAGAATTCACACAGCGCCATCTAGTCCAGAGTACAACTTGTGTTATGAGAACTAGACAACTGATGTGTGAAATATTACGAGGTAGACCTTTTAAAACTCTATTCTGTCTATAGATACTAACATGATAAAATCTGTAACGTTTATATGTAATAATAATCCAGGACAATTCACACAGCGCCATCTAGACCCAAGCTAAGTAGAACTTGTGTTATGAGAACTAGACAACTGATACATAGAAGGTTTTTTTGGTAAATACATAGAAAATACGCTGACCGATACAAACAATCATACTCATGAATACAACTTGTACCGTACGAGGAATTGACCCGTGACTATCCGAAGTAATGTGGTGTGCTAAATCGTTAGCCGAGCCTGGCTTCAGGTACTTTAGTGTATATGTGGGGGTTTGAATCCCACAGTTCCGTGATAATGATATTAATAATAATAATCTCAGGACAATTCACACAGCGCCATCTAGACCTAAGTTAAGCTAACTAAAGCTTGTGTTATGGGTACTAGACAACTGATACAAATACATAGATAATTTTTTTTTCGTAAATACATATATATTATATATAGAAAATACCCAGACCGATCAATCATACTCATGAGTACAAATGTTTGTACCGTGCGAGGAGTCGAATCCGCGACCATTGGACGTAAAGCGGTGTGCTAGACTGCTAGACCACGACGAGGTCGTCATATTGATTGATTGATTCTAAAGAACCTGAACTAAAACGTAAATACTGCCCATATTCTCATATGAATATTCTATTATACATGTTTTACAATTTATATCCGTAAATCGTATTCTTTAGAGTTCCAAATCGAAAATTAGTGAGAGGCATTACACAGCATAAAATTAATGCGTAAAGTACGTGAAATCTGTTTTACAGGTAAAATGTCTATCGTTAACGTTATCTAACCAATGTACGATAGATTGGTTAGGTTAACAATAGATTCTGTACTTTATTTTTTATGTTTATACCAAGTTAAGACTGAACTAGTATAACCGCAATAATTAAGTTTAAAATTGAGTCGTTGAATTAAAAAATTGCTACTACGGACTGTTGTTAAGTTGCCTAATAAGTTTATTATAATTAGCCTAGTTAATTATATAGGCCACTAGTGATAAATAAATCTATTATTTAATATCGCTATTGTTGTAATTCACGCTCTATAGAACCATATGTCCATAGGCTGGATATATTAAAAATATATCCTATCCTTGATGAAAATTGTAATTGGGTGTTTATCGTTAAGATTTTAGATTATATATAATATTTATTAACACGCATGGCATGCCAAACAGAGTAGGAAAATAAAAACCATCAATAACTACATTTCCACGCCTTGATTATAAACATATTGTTTTGTGCATTGAAGTTAAATAAATAAAAATAATCGGTAAATAAAGAATTTATCAATAGAAATAGAAATAATATTTATTCAAATAAACTTAATATAAGCACTTTTGAATAGTCAAGTTTTTTATTCTACCGCTTATTCAGGATGCAGATTCATCACAAGAAGAATAAGCATTAATTAGCATTTCAAAATTTTCATTTGAAACGGATCGTAATTGACAATTTTTTTCGTATATACATTATATCTAACAGTAAGTTTCATTTCAAATATTGTTCAATTTTGCTTCTTATATACCTACATTATATCCGACAGTTTCTTTACAATTCTTCAGATAGCAAGTTCAACGTCAAAATATCTGTTATTTTGCCAGTTGGCCATAACTGATCTGGTCTTAGAACTTTCAATTTCAACTTATTTCAAAAGGAAAGGAAATGTGAGTATTTGCTATTAACAAACAGAAAACTTTTCCCACTTATACAAATATATTAAATATTAAATAATTTGCTAGACAGTTACCAAAATGACAATGGTTTTTATTTTTCTAGTCGACTCAACTAACCATTCATTTATTAACACACTTACATTATACTTAGTTTTTACTCAGCTTTATGTCTATATGTATATTTCTAGTAAATTATGCTTATGTGCTTATATTAGTATGTAATTTACGATATTATTCAGTTATTATCGCATGAATATAGCGCAGACATAGTATAATATAAAATAATGTAAGCTGAGTAATAGCTTTGTGGTAATGATGATGCTTATAAAAAATCGGCGCCCGCGTCGCACCCGCATCTTGGGAAATGCACACAACTCGTTCTAGCTAAGTATACACAAATATTATATTACACTATATTGAATATATCACATACAATATAATATATATTTTTAATATATCACCTTCATTTTAAATTGTATGTATTGTATAACTAACATCACCATTTCTGTGTGTGCGTGTGTGTGAGCATGTGTTACACGGTGTGTTTTTGTGATAATTCCTGTGAAGTCGCGGATTAGCTTAGCTTCTGGAGATTTATGGGAACGGAAAGAAAAATGGACCATATTTTTAAGTATACAAAGTATAATTCAGTTTTTACTGAAATTGTACAAAATTTAAACAGTGACCGACGAAGACCAATATTCTCGGATGGGTCACAAAATGAACAAGTACATAGTTTAGTATTTAGTAAAAAGGACAGTCTTACTCACTACTAAACTGATTGCTTATCCCCGCACTTTCCTGCATTCTTTTGCTTCTAGTTGGCAGATTTGAACGCACTGGTTCATTCCGCTCACATGATTATGTTTTTGACTATTGTTTCTTTATTAGATAGACATTCAACGACGTTGAATCCGTTAAATATTGAGTCAGCAAATCAATCGGACGGATATGCTATCAGTCTTTTAGACTAATAGATTTGTAGTGTTTGGGTTGGTGTATTTGTGTAATCAATTACCTAAATAGACTTGGTACATGTGGTCAACGTGGTGATCTATAAGTCACTTATTTCAACCGCCAAACAGCAGATTTATTTCTTTTGCTGTTTGGATTGTAGTTAGGGTTGCCACCCGTACTTTATAATAAAGTATTGTACGGTTATTTCAGATAATTGTACTCTATACTTTATGGGAATAATAAAGTTCGTGAAAATACTTTATTTCGCATGTTTTGATTTCATTGGGATTTTAAAAACTTTAGTGTATGTATTTTTTCATTAAACGAAATTTATTGATTAGTGCAGACTGGCAATTTAAATATAGACTGTAAAGATGCAGTGCAATTATTTAGAAATTAGTAGAGATACTAATTTGATACAAACTGCAAAAAGCAATCAAAATAATGTACTTTATTTTGATACTATGTACTTTTTTTAATAACCGATGTACTTTAACTGCAAAAAAAAAAGGTGGCAACCCTAATTGTAGTGTGAGACGAAGATGAAATTACAGGATAACCAGACATGATATGTTAGTTGTTCGGAATGGCAACGCATGAGTGGTATCACGGATGTCACTTGATAACGTGATATCCGTAGTACTGTTCATGTATATATGCGACCGTTACCACTTACTCTCAGGTGGGCCATCGATTTATTTGCCATTCCAATTACAAGACAAGAAGTTGGAGATTTTTTTTGAGTTGTCATCATCAATTAACCTTGTAATCAATGTGAATGTTAGAGTCAGTTATTTGGCCCATTTTAGTTACATTCTTAAACGTTAACGGTAGTTTAGGTTCAGGTTTCTTGATATATGTTATGATTTTATTAGTTTAATACTAATAACTACAATGGTATGGAGCATTGCAGTCATCATTCATTTGTACGTTATACAATCTCATATCACACTTAACACTATTCATATTTATTTATAAATATCTCTTATTTTTACATATCATTACATTTTGGACTATCACATCTCTATAATAAAACTTTCAAATAACAGTGCAACTATTTTTGCAGTATTTTATTTTATTTAATAAATAACAAGCGAGCACTAGATGTCGCTTGAGGACTAATTTGTGTGCAAACTCTTGATGTGTTGCATGTAACGCGCTGGCGAGCTGTCATTTTGACATTTGAACCGTCAGTTATGTCGACTGTCAAAATAGTGAATGACAACTGGCTAGCGAGTTGACAGGTCATTATATTTTGTAAGCCATTGAAATTATATTTGACATATTATTACAAGGATAGTATTTATTTATTAATATTTTATTTGCATATCTACTTGAACTTAAAAACAGTTTGGTTATATACAACCCTACGATGTCTTAGTTATAAAAAATTAATAATCATAAGATAGTTAAGGGGGGCACGCACAAGGTGCAGTAATATAAAGAAAAGGTCCAAAGTAAATACACAACACTACAACACATCAATGTATTGTTTGCTTAAGCAGTAAACCAGTGATTTATAAGCTGCCGAAAGTATCTTTACATAGAATAAAATGAAGTCGCTTCTACTGTTCTTTAGCTTAGATCATTTAAACTACGCAACAGACTTTCATCTAGTTTTTAGCAGTAGATTATTCATAAAGTTTATATGTATAATTCATACCCACCCGTGGGAAACCGCAGCGGGTAGCCAGTCCAATAATATATATCAATATATATGTATATTTTGTATACAGAAAGAAGAACATTAGAAAATAGAAAAAAGAAAATAAAATTGGAAATAATTTTACATACTAGTTATATTTTTATATATTATCTATCGTTTTTACATACATAATTTTTATATATATTTAGTGCTTATTAATTGTATTAATAATATGTGTCGTTAATTGTATAAAAAATATAATGACCAGTCTATAACAAATTGGTGTATGCTTTCGAAAGATACCCGAACTCTAGTCGCTAGTACGATATTGCGACAAAATCGACTTGCCAAGCCACACTCGTACGACTTTTTAATGCAATTTGTAATCATTTATATGAAGAAGTTGCACACGAGCGATTTTTTGTCGCAAACTCGCAGCGACTAGTAGTTGAGTCGGGCATCGGTCGCGAGCGTGCGTCAAGCTATCGGGTGTGACAGTTGGACCGCGAGGCTGTGCACAAGTCGCGTTCGGTCGACAAGGCGGCGCGACTTCTCGGTGCTGACACGTCTCGCCTGCAGGACCACACCCATCATCAGCAAATCGTATGTATCGTTAGAGCATACACCGCTTAAATGGATGGAAACCAGACGAAATATGAGAACAGAAGTAATTGACAGTCAATGGCCGCCATGTTTAATTTGTTATGACGTCGTCCTGTTCATTAGAATAATATAAATCCGAAATGGTACTTTTTGTGTGGCAGTTGGTTACAAACCAGTTTATCTGTATTACTATTTAGAATGTTTAAATTTTAACTTATTGAGAGAGTTACGCTATATGAAAATCTGATATGTTTCATGTTTCTTATCACAATTATACGGTATATGCTCTATGTATTGAACGAATTACAATGCCGTAATGCGGAATTATCGACTCCTAATTAAAATAATGACTCGGAGTAAGTTAACCAACATTCAAAATTTATCAACGCTTCGCCAGCTATATATCTATACAGCTTGTTATAATATAATATGTATGTTCTATGCAGCTATCTCGAGGTGTATAAGGTCAGTTGCAACAAAAAAATTAATATAAATTAGTTTTAAATTTGAAATATATATAAAACAGTTTGACGAATCATACAGTCGGGCAACATTTTGCAGCCGTTCTGTCGCCTGTGTATGTAACGTGTATGGTAATAGGCGCCGAGCCACATGCCAAGAATTCCATTCGTTGCCCGTCTGTATGGATTATAAAACTGTTTTACTATTATAATCCTGTTAGCATAAATTATTATTAAAACAAATATATATTTAAATACTGTAATATTTTGTATGTAGGTATGTAGGGTGATTTTGAACGAGAACGAATCCCGATCTAATCGAAGGGTTATTTAATACATATATTAGAAAATTTGTAATAAAATATATAAATCAAATTTTTTTGTGACAAAGACACATATTAAAGATTTTTTTTTGTAATTTTAGGATATATCAATTCCAAGTTTAAGTCGATAGACTACGTAAATATTCTCCTGAAGGTCTAGGAATGTAGTTATTGTTTATATACTGTTGTATCTATTAGTGAAAGGCTTTGAATCTCGGAAAGTATACTCATTACAAATATATTATATGGTATACCTAAGCATTTTTACAGGATAAGAGGCATGATATCTTAGTCCTCTAGAATAGCAACATATCGAATTAAAATTCAAAATATTTTTATTCATGTACATTCATGTAGGTTTATTACAGACTCATGTCAAATCTACCGTCAGTTCGGAATGATTTCTAGATGAGAAGAACTGTCAAGAAACTGAGCTTGTATTCTTTTCAAATAAATGTTGTACATGTTTACAATAATATAGATTCAAATTCAAAATATCTTTATTCATGTAGGTCTATTACAGACTCTTATGTCAAATCTACCGTTAGTTCGGAATGATTTAGAAATGAGAAAAACTGACAAGAAACTCAGCTCGTATTCTTTTCAAATAAATGTTGTACATGTTTACAATAATACAGATTCATTTAAATTCAAATTTGGGAGAATAGAGTGACCACCAGCATATGCTATTGCACATGATAACGTGATGTACGTAGTGCTGTTCTTGTATGTAGGCGACGGTAACCGTTTACCATCAGATATGCCGTCAACGTGTTTGCCGTTCCAACGTATTACTTATAAAAATTATCAATTTATAAAGCAATTAAAAGATATCTAATTTGTATGTATGACTGAAGTATCATTTTTTGAAAACACGACTTTAAAGCTTTTAATTTAAAATCTATTTTCATTATTTGATATTTAAGATTATCATTAAGTGAGCGTAACGATATCATTAAATTATAGTATAAAAACCCGTCAATAGTTTTGTTGTTCTGTGCATTAAAATGTATTCTTTCATTTCAGCCAAAGGTTTTAGTGAAATCAAGAATAAGTCAATTGTAGTCGATATATCTTACAGATACTGTAGTATTATATTTAGAGTTTCTCAATCATTACTCAGATTAAAATGTATTCTTTCATTCAATCCAATAGGTTTTAGTGAAATCAAGGTTTTAGTCAATTGTAGTCGATATATCTTATAGATACTGTAGTATTATAAATCATTATATTTAGAGTTTCTCAATCATTACTCAGAATCATAAAAGGACTTGGAACCTTTTTCACCAGGACCCCAGAAATATGGGAACGGTTGCATCGTAACTTGTAGGAAGTGTAAAGCAGATTTTTATCCACAGATTTTTTAATCATCACTCAATATCATAATTGGACTTGGATCATTTTACACTAGGACCCTAGAACTGTGTTATACGTTTACATCGTAACTTGTAGCAAGTATAAATTGGCTTTTTATCCACAGAATTTGTGAATAATTACTCAAAATCATAATATGACTTCGACCCTTTTTCACTAGGACCCCAGAACTGTGGGAACGCATGCATCGTAACTTGTAGCAAGTGTAAACCAGCTTTTTATTGACAGCTGGAATTGTGCGTGGAAGCACTCGGGGAGGTGATGACTCTCCTGGCCAGAGATGACGTGGGCCCGGTGGATACGGACAGGGCAGAGTTGGCCAGGTCTCTCTTGCCTACTGTATTCCATACAGCCACGACAATGCTAAAGGACAGAAGTAACACTCAGGAGTTTGTTGATGATCCGTTACTGGTGAGTTATTACTTGTCCAATGCTAATCAAGTATTATAGTAGTAATGAAAATAGAGGAATAAAACAAAATGATACAAATCTATTAAATAATGAAATAGACTTCCTCAAAATATTTATTATTATTTTTTTAATTTTTCCTGAACAATTGACACAGCGCCATCTAGTCCCGTGTTAAGTACAGCTTGGTTAACGGTACTACACAACTGATATACATATATATTTTTTATATACATACATAATATACATAGAAAACGGCCATTCCGATACAAACAATCATACTAAATAAATAACCTGAACAAATCACACAGCGTAATCTAGACCCAAGTTAAGCTAGACAAGCTTGTATTATGGGCCTAGTGCCCATAACTGATACATATATATATACTTTTTTTAAATACATTCATATTATACATATAAAACACTCAAACCGATACAAACAATTATACTAATGAATACAAATGTTTGTACTGTATGAGGAATCGAACCCGCGACCATCTGAAGTAAAGCAGTGTGCTAAACCGCTAGATCACCGAGGCCGTCAAAAAATAGCATCTAATTCGATAAAATATATACCTCTTTTTTGATTTTCAGAGGCGACTCATCTGCGTACTCCTCGATATGGTTCGCCAGATGTCCGAAGAGCAATATTGCGTGATCGTGAAAGCGCTAGAAGCGGAAAGACTGGGCGGCTCAAGGTCATTACTGTCAGATGCACTGGAACTGTTGTCCGCTATACTCCAGCGACCGGTGTTCAGAGCGCACTGGGCTGATATGCTGCATTTACAACACAACGTCATGTTACATGCCTTGAGGTGAGTGTACAAGCCTATACATGAATTACCTTTAAGTAAATTTAAACATCTGTTTTTGTCTCGGTGGTCTAGCGGTTTAGCCACCGCTTTACTTCCGATAGTCGCGGGTTCGATTCCTCGCATGGCACAAACATTTATGGTAATGAGTATGAGTGTTTGTATTAACATCTGTTTATGTATCCATGTTTCATTACATAGTATAAAGTCGCTGTCACTGTCTGTGCGTCCCTTTGTATGCTTAAAACTACGCAACGGATTTTGAAGCGGTTTTTTTAATAGATAGAGTGATTCAAGAAGAAGGTTTGTATGTATAATACGTGTACACCCGGGCGAAGCCGGGGCGAGTAGCTAGTTATTAGATAGTATAAAACAAAGTCGCTGTCACTATTTGTTCGTCCCTATGTATGCTTAAATCTTTAAAAGTACGCAACTGATATTGAAGCAGTTGTTTTTTAATAGATAGAGTGATTCAAGAGGAAGGTTTATATATATAATACATGTACACCCGGGTGAAGCTGGGGCGAGTAGTTAGTTGCTAATTAATCTTAAATATTGCCTTAGATCCGTCCCTATGTAATGTATGTATGTTTAAGCATTTAAATCTTTAAAATTACGCAACGGATATTGAAGCAGTTGTTAAGAAATAACTAAATTTGGCCTCAGATTACTATCATTAACCCTTCGCGAACGCCTGGAAGCGGTGGACATATCAGACGGTGAGATGGTCGAGACAGTATACTCGATGTGGCGGGAGTGGTTCAACATGGCGTCGTTGCTGGCGACGTCGCCGGTGTTGCAGCTGGAGACGTTACCGACGCCGCGTAAGCAACGCGTCGTCGCGTTGTACGGAGACTTGCGGCGCGACATCGCTGAACTGATCAGCGACATGTGGTTCGGACTAGGTTTGTGGATATGCGAATATATATAATTTAACTATCTATTTGTAATTGTAAATACATATGAAAGTATATACGCTTACATATAATATTATTATATTTTTTTTTGGCTTTAGTGTAAAAAGTACCATATATCTCATTTCTAATTGAACAACGCTATGTAGTGACAAAAATGTAATACAAAAATTACCACTGAGTCTTATAAATGAGTTGATATTCGACCACAATAAAATACACAAAATCTTTGATCCGGCAGTAAAAAATGTATATTTTTAAACTAGATTTTTTTCGGACTACCCTAATGTTGTTGGCCTCAGCTGGTACTTACAGCTTCACCGGATGATAGGGGGCGAGTGCAGATGACATTCCAAACCTTATGGTATTAACCTATAGAGCGGCTGAAGGGCAACTTCCGCCTGAAAGATATGAATTTAGTCTGAGGCCACCGCTACCTGTTCGAACCTCGGCTCAGGCCGTCGTAATTTCGATCCCCGTTTGAATTGGACAGAGGATCGATCGGAGGGGAATAAACAAGAGTATATGTGCCTGTGTGTGAAATACAACTGTGTATAATGTTTTTTATTGTCTTAATTATTTTTTTAACATAATTAAAAAAAAATATTTTGCATTCCTCTATTTCATTTGATAAAATGAAGTCGCCTTTTGCTGTCTATTAGCTTAGATCTCTTAAACTACGCATCGGTTTTTAATGCTAATTTTAGCAATAGATAGAGTGATTTAAGAGGAATGTTTATATGTATAATATAACACCCGCTCTGGATTTGCACACCCTTGCGAATCCGAGGCGGGTAGCACAATTTATGTAAAAAGGGGTGCAAAGTTTTTGTTCCACCTGTTAATATAGTGATTCCTTAATGTATTGTTTAGAAACTGTAGGTTTCAAGTTATATATTGTTTATTAGATGACCACCGGCGCGCGTTCATTCCTTGCTTGGTGGGCCCAATCCTGGAGGTCAGTGTCCTACGAGACGACGAGGTCCGCCATAAGACCATACCGCTCTTCTTCGACATGATGCAGACAGAGTATACGCATAGCGTGGCTAAAGGAGAAACCGGTTAGTGGTGTTACATTAGCTTCTTAACAGAGCTTGGATTTTTTTAATTGGCAAACCAGGTTGACAGGTTGAGTGTGTACCTGGTACATGTGAGGTGGAGAGAGCTGATTGATAAGTTATATTTGTATCTGGTACATATGTAACGGATGGTGTTGTATTTGGTACAGAGTAAAGCGATGATACTATATCTGGTGCATAGTATATAGTAAAAAAAATCATGGTATGGACATGTAATGCGTAGGAACGAGGATAATATTTTAAGAAAGATGTTACAAATGAATGTGGATGGTAATAAGGGCAGAGGAAGGCCAAAAAAGAGATGGATGGACTGTGTGAAAGATGATATGGTAAGAATGGAAGTAAATAACGCGATGACTGCGAACAGGGATGAATGGAAGCGAAAAACATATTACGCCAACCCCAAATAAATGGGATAAGGAAGAAGCAGATGATGAGTATATAGTAAAAAAGGTATGGTAAGGTATGGTGCAGAGTATAGAGGGTTATCTGCGCAAGGTGGAGCGCTAGTTAATCGATAAGTTGGACGTGTACAGGACGTACACAGTATATGGAAAATGTGGTAATAGAGCAGTGTGTACTTGTGTACAGAGGGTGTACTATATCTAGTACAGAGTACTTACATAGTAAATAAGGTAATTGGTGGTATAGTCCTGTGTATGGTCACCTGTGTGAGGTGAAGAGAGGGGGCTGATTGATAAGTTGGACGTGTATCTGGTACAGAGTATGTAGTGAGATAGGGGTTGACATGGTTCGATAATAGACCGGTGTGTACCTGTGTACACAGTATATAATACTATAGGTAACGGCCGGTGTACCTATATACGAATGGTCATTTGCGCGAAGATATATATATATATATTGTTAGGGAAAATACTCTCTGCTACCAAAATGTTAGGGAAAGTACTATGTATATATATTGGGAAGCGTCTGTCACGTACCTGTATGGTTCTGCGGATTTCTTGGGCTTCAGGGTCTCGAAGATATCTTCGCTAGCTTTTCAGTTTCACAGTAGGTTTAACACAGTTCTAATTTATTTTAATTCACAACACAATGCGCGCGTGCGTCAAGGCCGCTGTACGGTCAGTTCAGTACTAGGTAAGGGAGGGGAAGTGAAAGCGCGGGAACAGAAAACTAACGGACTCTAATATAATAATCTGTGCTTACGATGATACAGGGTAGATTTTGAACATTATATAAGTCACAAAATTGATGGAGTCCATTATTTAATGGATGATGTTGTACTCAATAGAGAGTATATAGTAAGAAAGCTAATGAGTGGTATTGTATTTGGTACAGGGTAAAGCGATGGTATTGTACTTAAACGGTGTGTACCTATATACAGAGGGCCACCTACGCTAAGTGGAGAGCGAGTTAATCGACAAGCTGGACGTGTCCGATACAGAGCGTAGTCAGTGGGGTAATAGAGCGGCGTGTACCGTGTACAGAGGGCCACCTGCGCGAGGTGGAGAGCGAGCTGATCGACAAGCTGGACGTGGTGGCGGCGCGCGGCGGCGGGGACGCCGGGTGGCGCGCGCTGTCGGTGGCGCTGTGCGGCGCGCTGTGCCGGTCGGCGGGCGGCGCGCTGGGCGGGGCCGCCGCCGCGCTCGTGGCCGCGGCCGCGCGCCAGCTGGACACGCTGCTGCAGGACCGCGCCGCCGCCGCCGCCGCCTCCTCCGCCGCGCGCGACCACCGCATGCACCTCACCGCGCGCGTGCTCAGGTTCTACGACCACATCGACCGGCAGCACATGTATATACGGTCAGTGGTCATACCTCTACTGATGTCAATTTATTAAATGAATACTAGATGAGAAAAGTGTATTTAGCTTTCACGGTTAAAACATACGGTCGGTAGTAATGATACTGTACTCATGATAGCTATGCTAATATTGTAAACACGAAAATAACTGTGTTAATCTATCTCGCTTTCACGCAAAAACTACTGAAGCTATTTAAATTAAATTTAGTACATTGGGTAGTAAGAGATTAAGAGAAAGGGGAGATCGAAGTTTGGTTGGAAGTATTATCATTTTGAAAGCTAAGAGATTAAAACTTATTGTTTAGGGTGTTAAAGTATTGAAATTCAAAGTTTATAAAAATTTCACCCTACCTAATATGAAATAGAGATGCATGTTTATATGGTAAATCAAAATTTTTGAATAGACTTTTTTGAACCATAACTTATTAAATGTTTTTTCTTTATTTAGTCACTATTCCACGCAGACAAAGTCGCGAATGCAGCTACTATAATTTTACGGCTTAGTATACACCCTTTCCTTAATCACCTCACCCTGTATGTCACGCAGATACGTGCACAAGCTGGCGGGCATGCACCTGGCAGCATCGCAGTGGACGGAGGCAGCTCTCACGCTGCGACTGCACGCGCGCGAGCTGCGCTGGTCGCACGAGCCGCTGCCGCCGCGCCTGCGCCTGCCGCCCGCCGCGCCCGCGCTGCCGCCCGCCGCGCCGCACCGCACGCACCGCGACCTCAAGGTACGGTACACTACACCACGGTACAGTACAGTAGGGTGGGGGCCGACCGCGAGCTGCGCTGGTCGCACGAGCCGCTGCCGCCGCGCCTGCGCCTGCCGCCCGCCGCGCCCGCGCTGCCGCCCGCCGCGCCGCACCGCACGCACCGCGACCTCAAGGTACGGTACACTACACCACGGTACAGTACAGTAGGGTGGGGGCCGACCGCGAGCTGCGCTGGTCGCACGAGCCGCTGCCGCCGCGCCTGCGCCTGCCGCCCGCCGCGCCCGCGCTGCCGCCCGCCGCGCCGCACCGCACGCACCGCGACCTCAAGGTACGGTACACTACACCACGGCACAGTACAGTAGGGTGGGGGCCGACCGCGAGCTGCGCTGCGAGCACGAGTGCGAATACTGCGGCTGCAAGATTAGGAGAAAATTATTATTCGGAATACAATAAAGAATAGTGGACATTAGTAAAGATGTAATTCAAAAAGTCGGTCAGTCAGTGACGATAGACGTCATAATATTAAAAACGTACTACAACACTCCCTACTTCCAGCGCTACGCAGTTCCAACCACTACTAATGTTGCAATTATCTTAGATTTATATTATCTTTAAAGGAAAAAAATAATAATTATCCGGCTCGAAGGACTTAACTTTATTGCCCGCTCTCTACCTTCAGCGCCACGCTGCTCAAACCACTACTGATATTGTAATTAAATTATTTCTATATTACCCTTAAACGACTAAAAATTTAGCAAATTATCCGGTTCGAAGGACCACAACGTGGTGCCAAACCCAAATATTCAGCGATACGCAACTTTAATAACTAGTTATGTTGCATCTATCGGCTCAAAGTATCACAAGATATATCAAATTATCCGGTTCGAAGGACCAAATATGAAGTCTAACTTTATTTGAATTTATTCTCAATTAATTCCTTTAATCATGTACACAACATTTAAAAAACATGTAGAGGAACAACAAAAGAAAGACAATACAACAGAATGTACTGAAACTATATGCATACATATTTACAATGCTTGCTTAATTTTGTTAAGTCACTTAAGTTAAGTTAATTACTTCTCAGTAATAACAACCTATAAGAGTGTCACTTATTTTATATTAAATTTTGTGCTGATAATGTTTTTATGTATAATATATATATAGATAGAGTGTTTATTCAGCAATTACAAACATATAGCATACATGAGGTACAGAAATATAATTACAAAAAAAAAACAAAAGGAGACAATTAATATCAAAATGTAAATATTTCAGATTACATTTAGAGAGAAAGTCAAAACATAGCGCTTTGTAGAATTTGTGCAACTCCATCTAGCGTAAAAAAGGTGAATTAATCCCAACAGTAGCTTTATGTGTTGCAACCAACTATGATTCAAGTTACACAAATACCTTTCAGGAATTCCTGTACATTGAAGTAGCGGAGCTTCTCAAAAAGGGACGTCAATGGGAGTTAGCTGTGGAGATAATAAAGGAACTGGTGAACGTGTATGAAGATGAAGCGTTAGGGTACGGGGTACTGGCAGACCTGCACGGGCACCTAGCGACGCTGTACAACTCAATAATGATGGAGCAGAGATGCCATCCGTCGTACTTCCGTGTATTATACTACGGGAAAGGATTCCCGGAACACTTGACGGTGGACTTTGTGAGTTTACAAACTATATAGCTTTTATACATCTACGCTTCTTTCTTATCACATTCATTTGGCGGCGTAATGTTTTTCTCTTCCAGTCATCTCTGTTCGCAGTCATCTTGTTATTCACTCCCTTTCTTGCCTACTAGCCAATTAAGGGTGAAATTTAACATATTTATATACAAGCTTCTAGCTTTAAAAATTACGATACTTCCATACAACCTTTTGATCTCCCCTTTCACCCCCTTACAACCCATATTTCGCAATAAAAAGTAGCCTATATTCTTTCTTTTGGTCTCTGTACTAAATTTACATTTTGTATCGTACTAAATTTCATTTAAATCCGTTCTGTAGTTTTGACATTAAAGTGCGATAGACAGAGAGAGTTACTTACGCATTTATAATATTAGTAAGGACCTCGTAAATACAGAATAATTAAATCAAAGAGAACACTATAAAAAAATACGTGTATCGTACATTTTGTGATGTTTGTGGGGATTATTAATGTGTGGAGTCAAGTGGCTGTCTGCTTCTTGGCTATTTGTTATAAAACATTTGTTCCCAGGGATTCGTATACCGCGGTAACGAGTATGAGCAACTGGCAGACTTCACAGAGCGATTGATGGACGAATGGCCCAACGCTGAAGTACTCACCAAACTAGATGCGCCTGGAGATGATATTATTAACTCTAATAAGCAATGTATCCTTTATAAATTACTAGCTGTGCTCGCGGTTTTACCCACATCAAATTTATAACCTATATGATATTCTGATGTATAAGTTATATTACTGTACTACGGCCCTCACAGGACACTGCAAATTAAATAAGCATATGGCTAAACTAGGCCTATGCACGACAAGTATCTGCAGATTCTGCCAAACTGAAGAGGAAACGCCGCTTCACATCCTATGTGGTTGTAGCCCACTCATGCATAAACGAAATATCTCCTTTGGAAAGTTTACACTCTTTCCCGAGGAGATAAAAACGATCGCTCCTAAGAATATCCTTCAATTCTTGTCCCTGACGGGTCTAGGTAGCGAACTCTGAAAAGGGCGAGCACAATAGATCTATGTAGGTCGCAGTGCTACAGGTGCTACACATCTGACAATAGCCCAAACAACACAATAAAAAAAAAATACTTATATTATACTATACATAGTCTCCTACTGGATCATCTCTAATAAAATGCATCTCTCTCGCTACTTTATTTGTTTCACCCTTTGTGTGAGAAAAGGTGAAACAAATAAAATAATAATTCTACACTTCTCCGAAATGGCTAGACCGATTTTAGTGAAATTTTATATATGTACTCGGTAGGTGTAAGAATAGATTGTTATCTCCAGCCCAATATTTTTAAATTTATTTGACAATAGTCCAAACAATCCAATAAAAAAAAATATATATATTACTGTAAAGTTTCATCAAAATCCGTTCAGTAGTTTTTGCGTGAAAGAGTAACAAACATCCATCCATACTCACATACATTTGCGTTTATAATATTAATAAGATTAGCTGTCAAAGCAAACATTGCTTGTTGTTTAATATCGTATAGGTTTAGAATACCGTTGCTAGAAGGTGGTTGCACAATATGGTTGTGCGTGGCAAAAAGTTCCTTGTAAAACGCACTGTGGAGGACCGCCATCTAAATATATATAATTGAAAGGTGACTGAAAGAGGGTGTACAGTATATAATACTATAGGTAACAGCCGGTGTACCTATAGATGGATGGCCAATTGCGCGAAGATATATATATATTATAGAGACTTATATAGTCTCTGTATTCTAATCTAAATATATATATATATATAACTCAAAGGTGACTGACGTAGCGATCTATTAACACACAGCTCAAACCACTGGACGGATCGAGCTGAAATTTGGCATCCAGGTAGATGTTATGACGTAGGCAACCGCTAAGAAAGGATTTTGTTTAATTCTACCCCCAAGGGGATAAAATAGGGGATGAAAGTTTGTATGAAACTTGGTCAAACCACTGGACGGATCGGGCTGAAATTTGGCATCCAGGTAGATGTTATGACGTAGGCAACCGCTAATGATTTTGATTAATTCTACCCCCAAGGGGATAAAATAGGGGATGAAAGTTTGTATGAAACTTGGTCAATTTTAAACCGATCGGACTGCATAAACTACACTTTGCATAAAGCTACTATGTCGTAGGCATCCTCTAAGAAATTATTTTGATAAAGGGATAAATTAACGCGAGCCAAGCCACGGGCAAAAGCTCAAATTCAAATTAAAAAATCATTTATTCATGTAGGACACTTTAGCCGCTTATGAACGTCAAGTCTTAGCTCGTTAATACATATCTAGATGTAGTCTTTAAAAACAAGTTTCCTTAACATAAACATTAGATTTACAAATAAACGCTGTGGAACCATTATTAAGTGATAAGCTGAAGCGTCTCTCAGACAAGCCGGTGTCGGAGCAAGTGCTGTCCTACTACAAATATAATAGCGTTGACAAGTTCGTGTTCTCGAGACCGTTCCAACGACAAGGTAAGCGTTGTCGAATCGTAAGTATGTAAAAGAACTCGAGTACTTAAAATACGTACCGTATTTTAAGTACTCGAGTTCTTTTATGTATGATATGGTCGCCGAACAGTAATGCGTAGGAACGAGGATAATATTTTAAGAAAGATGTTACAAATGAATGTGGATGGTTATAAGGGCAGAGGAAGGCCAAAAAAGAGATGGATGGACTGTGTGAAAGATGATATGGTAAGAAAGGAAGTAAATAACGCGATGACTGCGAACAGGGATGAATCGAAGCGAAAAACATATTACGCCGACCCCAAATAAATGGGATAAGGATGAAGCAGATGATGATGGTCGCCGAACAGTCATTGGGCCCCCAAACTATGTCCACACTCTACAACTCTATCACACTAGAAGCGAAACACGTGTCGCAATATAGTATAATAGAGGATATTATACTATATTGCGACACGTGTTTCGTTGACAATTCACACAGCGTCATCTAGTCCCAAGCTAAGCGGATTTAGCTTTATGGGTACTAGACTACTGGATACAAGCTAAGCTGAGCTTGTGTTATGGGTACTAGACAACTGATAGATATATTCAGATATTTTTTTTGGAAATACATGCATAATATACATAGAAAACACCCAGACCTATACTAAAGTTCTGAACTGTACTAGATATAGATCCTATATAAGTAAATAAAACCCAATGATAGTTTTAAACATGTATATTCGTTAATAATAATATTCTTAATTAAATTTTTTTTCTTAGATCATATTAAGTATTTAATATGATCTAAGAAAAAATTTGTAATCGAAAAAAAAAGAAAAAATCTTCCCATCGCGATTTAGAAATTAAACTTAAATGACGCAGCGACATGTAGTTTACTTTTCGGAACTATTCTATAATTAACTATTAGCGTAAACAGATTATATACATGGTGTATCTGAAAAAAATCATGTACACCATGTATATGAAGTTTTGACTAAATTCCAATATGTTTTATACAACAGAGGAATCGGTAGATGGCACTACAGACGACCCCAATCAGAACAAGTTTGCTACTCAGTGGCTGCTGCGGACCGAACTAGAGATCAGTGACAAATTGCCCGGTGAGTTGAATTCTATTATGATTATGAAGTAGAATTACGACTACTAACTGCAGGAGTTCTTCACAGATTTATTTTATAGTCTGTGGTATTTTTAGTAGAAAACTGTACTGAGAGAAATAAGGAGAAACTGGGACTGACCGAATGGACTAACTTGATGAAGAGTTGAAAGACGTGTATTACGGCTGGCAACGGCAGTGAATTAGGGTAAAATAAACATAATAACTTACCAAACTTGTAGTAATGTGTTTAGTGGCAACGTATGACAAAATAGAAATAGCTATAAAAATATTTATTTTACCCTAATTCACTGCCGTTGCCAGCCGTAATGACGTGATGGTTCTTGAATTACGACTACTGCAGAAGATCTTCATAGACTTCTTCTGTAGTTTGTGGTGTTTTCAGTGACAGAAATAAGGAGAAAGTAGGACTCACCGACTGGTTTACTTGATATAGAGTTTAAGGTTTTGGACACCCTTTATCATTAATTCCAATTCCACACATCACTAACAGTTTGATTTAAAATTAGAACGAACTGGATACGTAAATTTATTTGTCGATGTCAAATTATGTTACTATAATGGTAGCCAGAATTATAATATGTTAACCGTATCCGCGGCGACCGCGTGTTATAGTGACCTTGACCAAATAATCATAAAATCTGACTCAAAATGGCCAAACAAAAAAGTTTCATCGTCCTAAGTTTATAAATGACGATTTTGTATATAAACTTTCAACTAGAAATTTTCGGGTTTCACACGGTCGACACCGATCAGCGGGAAAATTTGAATTTGGAAACGGTTGAGTGAATGAAATGGTTCACACGTTCACACAGCTGTTACCAATTGGCGGGAAAACTTTGAATTTGGAAATGGTTGAGCGAATGAAACAAATTATTATTGGTGATACGATAGAATGTCAGATGACCAATGATTTTAAATTAGGAACTTTTTGATAACTTTTTTTTTTATTTCATTATTATCAATGTCAATTGGAAGGAAATTTTTAATTGGACCGTATGCACAATTATGCGTATACGAACTTTGTAATTATTTCTTTAACTAAATAGAATCATCAGTCTTAAGTGGAATGTTCGTAGTGTATTACGAATGCCGAAAACGTAGGTCGTTGCAACCCATGTTACGTATGTTTGTATCAAGTCAATGTGACCAATTTCCTTCAAGTTAAAACTTCTATAGTGGTTAAGGTTGTGTAAGTATTCTGAAACCTACTGAACGTCTGCCGCGGAAACAAGTGGTTGAAGGAGTAGGACACTTGCAAACATTAAAAAAAAATATTTATTGACAAAAATTGATTTTATGGTCTATAACAAGTATCTTCATGATTATAAGCATTCGGCTCATAGGAAATAATTGAAGAAATTAGTCTCTGGATCGGATATAATAGTGATGGTGTGTGGTGGCAGGCATCCTGCGCTGGTCGCAGGTGGTGCGCGTGCAGTCGCGCTGGGTGTCGCCGCTGCAGGCCGCCGTGGAGGCGCTGCAGGCCGCCAACCTCGAGCTGCGCGCGCTCGTGCTGTCCTCGCGGGCGCCCTCCGCCTCGCTGCACCCGCTCACGCTGCGGCTCAACGGTACGTACAGCGCTGCAGCCGCTGCAGCCGCCGTGGAGGCGCTGCAGGCCGCCAACCTCGAGCTGCGCGCGCTCGTGCTGTCCTCGCGGGCGCCCTCCGCCTCGCTGCACCCGCTCACGCTGCGGCTCAACGGTACGTACAGCGCTGCAGCCGCTGCAGCCGCCGTGGAGGCGCTGCAGGCCGCCAACCTCGAGCTGCGCGCGCTCGTGCTGTCCTCGCGGGCGCCCTCCGCCTCGCTGCACCCGCTCACGCTGCGGCTCAACGGTACGTACAGCGCTGCAGCCGCTGCAGCCGCCGTGGAGGCGCTGCAGGCCGCCAACCTCGAGCTGCGCGCGCTCGTGCTGTCCTCGCGGGCGCCCTCCGCCTCGCTGCACCCGCTCACGCTGCGGCTCAACGGTACGTACAGCGCTGCAGCCGCTGCAGCCGCCGTGGAGGCGCTGCAGGCCGCCAACCTCGAGCTGCGCGCGCTCGTGCTGTCCTCGCGGGCGCCCTCCGCCTCGCTGCACCCGCTCACGCTGCGGCTCAACGGTACGTACAGCGCTGCAGCCGCTGCAGCCGCCGTGGAGGCGCTGCAGGCCGCCAACCTCGAGCTGCGCGCGCTCGTGGTATGTACAGCGCTGCAGACGCTGCAATGGTACGTACATGTCTACAGCTGCTGCAATCTAATCCAGTGTATAGCTACGTGCCTCGTTGGCTCGCCGAATGTTACAGCGCTGAAGCTGCTACATGCAAAAATATGTGTACTGCCGCCATATCCTGCAGCTGCTTACCTACATACTTATATACATTGTTCTACTGACATCGGTATGCAACATTACTTACATGACCTCTAGAGTACCTGCACTCACTATAACTTTACTTTCTTTCATTATTATATAATTTTTCAATTTCTATCCCCCAGGTATCTTGGACGCAGCTGTTCAAGGTGGTATTAAGAACTACGAGAGCGCGTTTCTGACACCGGCGTACGAACAGCGACATCCAGAAGACGCACCGGTACTAGCGAAACTGAAGGATCTCATCGTGGACCAGATACCGTTACTCAAATACGGTTAGTTTGGCTAGATATATACAGTTATTAAATAATTATAGTATTTTTTTTTATATTAAAACTGGTTTTTTTATGGATGGACGCTGGACAAATGAGTACTGATTTATTTTCGTTCACAGCGTTTGAATGTATTTTTTTTCAAATTTTATTCTAATTCAAAATATCTATAGTCATGTAGGTCTATTACAGACTCTTATAATATGTCAAATCTACCGTCAGTTCGGATTGATTTCGAGATGAGAAGAACTGACAATCACTAATTTCTTTAATTTTTTATAATTAAATGTTGTACATGTTTATAATAATATAGATCCATTTTTAAATTCAAATTTGGGAGAATTGAGTGACCACCAGCTTAGAAGACATATTTATTATATATAATATATTATGTTTTATATACAATATGTTATAAACAATTGCAATATCTGACTATTGCAACTATGACGTCGATCATCTTGTAGTGCTTAACTCATGTATGTGTACATAGAACATCTGCGTTCGTTGTTCAGGTCTGGAGGTGCACGGATCCCGAGCGCCGCCCTCCCTGCAGGCGCTGCACCAGCACCTCGCGCAGTGCTTCCGGCAGATGCAGCTCCACGTACAGCATCGGTACGGGGTCAAGGTACGTATTAATAATAGTAATATTCCTCTCATCCACAAGTATCTTTTCTAATCACCTACATCACAAACTGAAACATTAAATTTTCAAAAATACTACATCACCCTTCCAAAGTGCTGCCATTTGGAATAGCTGTAGAACTGTCCGAAAATTACAGGAAATATATGAAAATGACAAAATATCTGTCATATAAATGAAAGGCTCGCAATAAGTACACACACATACACACGCACGCACGCACGCACATAAAGTATAAGATCATGTGTTCTGCCATATAGTCTTTGACAATAGAACCTTAATAATATTCAAACATATAATTTAAGTTAATAATTAATATGATATTAGTTAAAAAGGATGACAACAGCAGAATATTTTTTTTATAGGTAAAATACATTATTAACCCATCCTTTGAATAGCTAATATATTTGACACAAGTATATAATTACACGAAAGATATAAAGGTAAAAAATTGGATATTGTTGCGGGTAAATTATACTATGTTGTTGGTTGAGACGATGCATATTAAAGATGATAACAGACTGACAATATGTACATAAAAATATTGATCTTATATACTAAATAACAATAGAAAAATGTAAGGTGGGGTGACACAGTTTAGACACGGCAGTACTTAGTAGATCATATTGGATTTGTCTTACTAGCAATTATTAAAGGCAATTATTATTTCGATGTATCTAGGTAACTGTGTCCCATAGACATAAAAACAGTTCAGAATAAGAAAAACTTATAAAAGATCTGTCGACTCCGTTGGTATTATTCTTATTGTGAATTACTACTACTATTTTGTGAATTAGTGCTGGTTGGTAGTTTGTATTCACACGTTTCGTAAATGTAAAATTACAAGGATTATTTAAAAGAGCAATACACAGGTTTCTTGCTCGTTCTTCTCGTGATGAGACAGCTTTCCGAACGAGCGAAAAAAAATGGGATAACTATTCAAAAGTGCTTAAATAAAGTTTATTTGAATAAATGATTTTCTATTATATTCTATTCTAATTATATGCGAATCCGTGGCGGTAGCTAATCATATTGTAACTTCAAATATTTGCAGATGACGGACTTGGAGCCTGAGACGCCCGAGGTGCAGCTGAGGATGCGTACTCCAGCCAGAGAGACCAGCACGTCAGACCCCAATAACTCCAATAACAGGATCTCCGATATATCAACGGGCAACGAGTAAGTTCTATTATTATTATTGTTGCCTTGTTTTCAATTGGAATTTGGTATTATAAGGGTTATGCTTGTTAGGTATACAGTATATCGTCGATTAAATAGAAAAATTACATTTTTCAAAATTGGAAGCTAGAATTGCATCCTTTTATATAAATCAACTAAATTAACCACGCCGTCTTAATCATTATCTAAATAGTTTTTAAATGACATAATATTTCTGTGTAAAATTGAAACTTTAAAGGGAAAAATAATTTATATAAATTTAAAAACTTTAAATGCTTGTCTTCAAGACAAGACCAAAATGTACATACTGCCATTTTTTTATTTAACCGACGATATGAAGACCGTGTTTTTTTTTATTTTAATTATATATTTTTTTTCTAAATACTATGAGGAAAAATATTTTAAGTAAAGAAGTGTTCTTTTAGTTATTGGATTAGTAAGTATTGTATTATAGTTTTATGCTTTTTTTTTACAGTACTTCGTCCCGGCTGAAATTTTTCAGTTTCAACAGTGCCATAAATCCACTCGTGAGGTAATCCATATTTTTTTATAATAATAATAATATCTCAAGTCAATTTATAGAGTGCCATTTAGTCCCAAGCTAAGCAGAGCTTGTATTATGGGTATTAGACAACTGATATAAATAAATATACAAATAAAATACACCCAGACCAGTACAAGCAATTATACTCATGAATACAAATGTTTGTACTGTACGATGAATCGATCCCGCTACCATCGGAAGTAAAGCGCAGTGCTAAACCGCTAGACTACCGAGGCCGTCGTAATAAGTAATTAAGAAAGAACATAATATCAAAATAGTAATCTATAAACGTATAGATAGATACACACATAAAAATATAGCCTAGAAAAAAGTCCAAATGGCATTGTACCATAAAAAATATACAGTCGAATTGAGTAGCTCTTTTTTCCGTTTAAAATACAGTCGTAAGGGTTAAAGTTTAATGAAACGGTTATTTTGCTTAGCAGAAATAGCAGTGGTGGATATTTCGGCACCTTGCAAAATCCACCCAGGAAACGGGACAAGCGACGCACCAGAAAGGTAAGTTGATACCGTGATGACGTGATGATCGGTGGTGAGAGTAAACACGGACAGTAGGGTTGAAACTTGTGTATATCGATTCTTAGATGATGCTACTCTAACATATAAATACATTTATGTTCATTTAATATACAATTTATTAGCTTTTACACGAAATCTCTGACGCGGGAATAGGCCTCCACCCAGAAAAGTGTATGTAAATGTAGACCAAAGACAACGAGTAAGACCGCGCGCAAACTGAGTGTATTCCCGTGTACAACAATCGTGCGTGCCTTAGTGCAGTGAAGTGGCAATGGGCAGGGCACATAGCTCGTAGGACAGATGGCCGTTGGGGCAGTAAAGTCCTCGAGTGGCGACCGCGGACCGGAAGACGCAGCGTGGGAAGGCCTCCAGCAAAGTGGACCGACGATCTGGTCAAGATCGCTGGAAGGCATAGGATGCGAGCAGCGCAGGACCGATCGTCGTGGAGATCTTTGTGGGCCTTTGTTCAGCAGTGGAAGTCTTCCGGGCTGAGATGATGATGATGAAGCCCACAGTTCCGTGATAATGATATTAGTTGATATATTGATTGATGAGGGGTTTTTGCTGAATAAAACCGCCTTGGTTGAATGCTATTCGAAAATAGATTTTCATTACTAAAAGAAATATAATGAGGTGAAATTGCATTTGTCGGCAATTGTGTATATTGTATATCATAAAAAAATAGAAACTAAAAATTTTGTGTATTTCATAGTAGAAGAAGTCATTTTAATTACTTAATGGCAGGCATGTGCAGTAATAATTAATTACCACTGCAAAATGGCGGACATCCGGCTATGGAACAAAGAAAGTAGTAGAGAGTTGCTGATAATAATAATTTCATTTATTTCACAAATTATGTGAATGAAATTTCTCAATCAAAAATCAAAGTGTATGAAATTTATGAAGTAGACTTTTGAGGCAGGTATAGAAAATACTTGTGATTCAAAAGTCAATGTCCTCTTCCATATTGTGATGTACTTTTGAGTGAATTTTCAGTTTATATTTCAGATATTTTACAATCTATACATATAAATAAAATTGGAGTGTCTATTTGTAATATTGAAATAACCATTTTTTTACTACATGCATATGAATATAAATACTACACTAAAATAATAAACATTATATTTTATACAATTTTTGTTTGTCTGTCTGTCTTTTCTGGCTAATCTCTAAAATGGCTGGGCCGATTTTGACGGAAAATAAATAAAATAATACGGAATTGAACTTTGTTTTAGAAAAATAAAGTTAAATTCCACACGGACGAAGTTGCAACTACAGCTAATTTATTATTGTATATAGTTCTTAAACGTGTCTTTGGAAAATAAAATCTGTGGATGGAAAATATTTTTTTTATAACAAATTGCAGTGACATGAATTCCACGCGCAATTACGCGCGAAAGAGTGAACACATGATGTTATATATATATTGATACAGCGGTTACACCGCTACACCTCATGGCCTCACGGCCACTTGTATTTAATAAACAGTATGCTTGTAGCAGTCCTTGGTTTTACTTGTGTCTCGCATACACAACACATAAAATAGTAAAAGTCTTTCCCGCTCTAAATCGGGCATGTTCTTGATTTCGCGTGAAAGAACGTCTTGTACAGGCAGCTATTAGGACTATGTATACTAATCTTTCACATGCTAATGGTAGCGGAATTAAACAAAATAATATAATACCGGACTTCCGCAAAATAACACTTAATTCGATAAAATATATGTAAAAGAGCGTGCCATGTAAAAGCAGCTATTAGGACTACATATATACTAAACAGTCTCACACATGCTAATGGTAGCGGAATTAAACAAAATAATAAAATCCATTAAGTAATTAAAATGACTTCCGCAAAATAACACTTAATTCGATTAAATATATGTAAAAGCAGCTATTAGGACTACATATATACTAAACAGTCTCACACATGCTAATGGTAGCGGAATTAAACAAAATAATAAAATCCATTAAGTAATTAAAAGATAAGATATGTGTAATGGTACTCGGGAATGTTCTTAACAAAGATCTTTCGTCTCTTTCTTCTTGTTCCTTTTTTCTTTTCTTTTTCTTTTATTTAACGATCACAGCACCTCACTAATGGTTCATTTTAACATTGGCACAAATTTATTTTACAGCAGAGCGTTTACAGTATAAAGGTATTTTGACACTCCATTTTCAATTGCTTTTGTCGCATCTAACACTCTCTTTTATTTCAATTCTAACAGCTGCTTTTGAATGTATTTTGTGTTCTATTTTTAATTATGTAAGACTTATTAATAATTTGTAACACTCCGATTGATCCGTCCAATTCAAAAGAGGATCGAAATTTGTTATTATATATATTTATATATAGATTTAATCATTTTAGAATGTAATAATAGTAATGTTAAGTTGAATAAAGGAATTTTTTTGTTGTAAATAGTAAACACAACTGACTTTTTTTTTTTGTTAACTCACTGTCTATAAACTAAAAGGTAACTAACGTTTTTGTCATCAATACGTTATTAATATATACATACTTATATTATCTGTCCCGGCACACGTTGTTTTGCCATATAAATTGAAATACTGATATGGCTATTAAAAAATAGGGGTTGGTGATAGAAGAGTAAAAATTAGGGTTGTATGTATTTTTAATGCCACATAAAAAAATGTCCAAAAATTAAAAAAAAATGTTAGGGGTGGACAACCCTTATCACTTAGGGATAAAAAATAGGGCGAAAAATAGATAGCGGATTCTCAGACCTATATGCATATAAAATTTCATAAAAATCGGTCAAGCGGTTCGAAGTATGGTAAACTAACATTGGTACACTAACAAGTGTACTAGTTTTTAATGCTAGATGGCGCTGTGCGAATTGACCTGAGAGTTTTTTTTTTTCAGAGTGAAATCGGCACGCCAGCGAGCGGAAGTCAATGGTACACGTCCCATTCGACTCCAAACGGTAACAGCAACAGTAATACATCGGTGAACACTATCAACACGCCCGAGACGCCCACATCGTCGCCACTGCGGGAACTGAGACAAGAGGTACGTTGCGTTTACTTATATAAAGCCCCCCATACACGGTACGATTGTTACAATACGTCGTTCAATGTTAACATACGTTACATAGAAGTTACATAAAAGGTAATTTGAAATGTAGCTAACGGTGGTCAGCTGGTAGATACATGACACAACTATAAATTAGATTTTTTTTTTTACGTTTTGACACAACAATAATGACAAAAAAACAACAATTTACACACATTACAAAACAAGAGTCAATATGGACCACAATTGGAAATATGGTTTCCGGAGCTGACTTTCAGTTGAAATTGAAATTAAAATTAAAAAATCATTTATTCATGTAGGACATTTTAGCCACTTATGAACGTCCAGTTCGGTATATAGATCCAATTGAGAAGAACTAGTAAGAAACTCAATTGAATTACTTTTTTTTTAAAAGCCTGTTTATTTACAATGCATAGGTATTTATATAGGTGTCTATGTCTAACATTAAATGAAAATCCCGAACATGAAAACTATTGCCATGCACGCTCGTCATTCAAGTAATCGTTTAGTGAGTGAGTTGGGTTGGGGTATAAAATATATATATATATATACATACATATAACAAAATATTATATACCTAATATAATATAATTGTGTATAGCTAATAGCATATAAACCAACCACGTGTAATCAAATTAATGAAGTAAAACATTCAATAAATTAGTAGAAATAATACGAATATTGATTTTTTATTCGAATATTGCTTTGTTTACCTTTTATGTAAGTTCTATTCCAACGGAGTAGAGTTGGTTTTCGCATGTGTTGTATATGATTGAATAATATAAATCTGTCCGTGTATGGGGGCCCTAATGTGCGTTTCGAGCAGTGTGGGTCAAGTGTGTTTAGCTTCTGTTTATTGTAGTCACGTGTTGGTAGAAGGACTTTTCAATATACAGGATTACACGATAATCAACGCGATTTATCAATAGCGATTATAGTACACCCTGTAGATTTATAATGATTTATGATTCGAATGGTAAATGTCACATACAAAATAAATGTGTTTTATTTTTAAAATAAATCTTAAACGTATCTTTACATCCTGTACATTTATGATTCGAATCATAAGTCTTTTACAAAATAAATGTGTTCTATTTTTAAATAAATCTTGAACGTATCTTTAGACCCTGTAGACTTATGATTCGAATCATAAATGTCTCATACAAAATAAATGTGTTCTATTTTTAAATAAATCTTGAACGTATCTTTAGACCCTGTAGACTTATGATTCGAATCATAAATGTCTCATACAAAATAAATGTGTTCTATTTTGAAATAAATCTTGAACGTATCTTTATATCCTGTAGATTTATGATTCGACATTCCACAATCTAAATGCACGCGGGAGGACGCTCCTCTGAAACAGCACTGTTATGAATGCTACTGATTTTATTGTTAGCGAAAAGTATAATAAGGTGAAGCATGTTGGTTATTGGGTAGTGCGCAGTAAGGGATGATGTGGGTTTATCCGTACGATATGTTTATATTTACTTTTTTTTCGGACTACTCTAATGCTGTTGGCCACAGCTGGCCTATACAGCTTCCCGGGCGATAGGGGGCGAGTGCATGTGGCACTCTAAACCCACGGAGGGACTTATGGAGCGGATGAAGGACCCGCCTTACGGATACGACATTATATTTACATATTTATTTGTGTATTCTGTGTATTGATGAGTCCTGACGGGTGATGGTATTTTCTTTTATTTTGGTGGTGGCTATTTGAAATGTTATTGGTAGTTATTACCCGCGACTTCGTACGCGTGGAAGTTAAATTTTTATTAAATAAATGTAAGCTAAGTTACTCCTTATAATATTAGCTACCTGCGAGTGAAGATCTCGTCAAAATTGGTCCAACCGGTCAGAGAATAACGAACAGACAGACAGACAAAATAAAACAATATTTTTTTACTTAAGTTTATACTATATAATTGACTGACAATATGTACATAAAAATATTGATCTTATATACTAAATAACAATAGGAAAATGTAAGGTGGGGTGACACAGTTTAGACACAGCAGTGCTTAGTAGACAATATTGAATTTGTCTACTATTTATTGAAAAGCTGTTAATTTGAAACTAACATAGTATAGAATTCAAATTGTAGATGAATTTTTCAAATTAGTCCAATAGTTTTAGATCCCATTCAATGCAAACAAACAGTCAATACAAATCTCCTCTTAATAATATTAGTATAAATGTCGTCAAAATAATTTCAAATAATATATTCGTAATACAATCCTTGTTATTGTTAAGGAGAGCTCCCCTTCATTCCCTATTCATACTATGTTAGCTTTTTCGAACAATGAATATGAACACATAAACACATGAGCCACGCTGCTCGTGCTCACACGCAGCAATGAGTAGCTGGCCAAGCCAGTAAGGGCTATTACTAGAACTTCCACCAGCTGGTGACGGAGCGGCCCCTGCGAGCGGAGGTGGAGCGGGAGCGGCGAGCCTCGCAGCGAGCCAGCCTGCTGCCGTCCGCGCCGCCCTCCAACAGGGACTCCATGGGTGAGTACCGACACCGACACCGTCCTCACACTGCAGCCTCACTAGGGCTGCCACCGCCAATCGTGATTCGTAATACACGCTGACGGTACACCGCGCCGTGGTCTAACAGCACAACAGGGTATGGTTCTTTGTATTAGTCTGGTGTTTTCTATGTATATTATGTATATTTTTACAAAAAAATGTAGCTAAGTAAATCTATCAGTTGTCTAGTAGGTCAGGTCAGTTAACCCGAGTTGTAAATGCAAAACCTAAGATACATATTTTGATGGGTGTATGTTCTCGGAAATATTGGAAATATTTTTTGCTTTCATCATGTTTGAACTCACTACTTTTTGGTCTAAATATTTTGCTAAGTGGACTGTAGTGCTTATTACAATGGTACACAACTATTTCACAACAAAAAGCATAATTAAAAAAAAAGCAAAGCTTTAATTCATATTGAATTTAATATATTTATTGCAAAAATGCAATAGTTTTAAGTCATGCAGCTTATGTTGAATTTGATATTTGTTTGACAGGCACAACCGACTCGAACCATGACGACGAGGAGCCCCCGCCGCTCCCCGAGAAGCAGTCCCACCGGTACTCAGACGGAGATAACAACAACAACGGGGACTCGAACCCGCTACCAGTTAGGAACAACTACGACCTGGTGATGCCACCAACTAGAGGTTCATTCCTATACAATTCACTAGCGATCAGAAAGAATACGACGGCAATGGGAGAGAAGCCACCAACACCTCCGCCTAAAAAGAAAAACGTACAAAACAACAATCTGTAACTTTATAGCATAGGGGACATACGAGCTTGCGGCTCGCCTGATGGTAAGTGATTACCACCACCCATGAGCACCCGCAATACCAGGGGAATTGCAAGGGCGTTGCCGGCCTTTTGAGAAAGGACAATATAATCTCAGGACAATTCACACAGCGCCATCTAGACCTAAGCTAACTAAAGCTTGTGTTATCGATTCTAGATAACTGATACAAATACATAGATATATTTTTTTAGTAAATAAATTTATATTACTTATAGAAATCACCCAGACCGATATAAACAATCATACTAATTAATTCAAAAGTTTGTGCCGTGCAAAGAACTGAACCCGCGACCATCGTAAGGCGGTGTGCGAAACCGCTAGACCACCGAGGCCGTCAAAATATATGCTTTCTTCATTTAATTTGGTACTAAAATCTAGCATTACATTTTAATAGCTCAGAGTGAAAGTCCATTTTCGAATTGACCCCCTTAACAATCAAGTTGCCCCCCTGTGGGAAGTGGGCCCCCCGTTGGGAAACACTGGTCTAATGTAATGAATGGCAATTAAATATGTAATCAGTTCCAGTTACAATTAATTCACTGCCAAAACTCACTTTTAAATGAGAAGAAAGTAAAAGAAAATCGTAGGTCGTAGTATCTACTACATCTGATTCGTATACGCAATTGGAGTTTTTTTTTATTATTTCTAATTGTCGATTCTTTATTAGTATTACTCAGTAATCACAAGAATTATGTACAGTATTTATTTTTTTTAATCATGTATTAATAAGAATATGTTCAAAGATTAAAAATATATATCATATAATGATACAGAAATACTTTTAGCCCCCCTATACTTAACATATGGGGCTATTGAAATGTCCTTTTCTTACCAGTTACTATTTTAATTTGTAAGAAAGAGACAAAAGTATTTCTTATTTCTAAGTAAGGGTTTATTATTAGTCTTTGACGTCCGTTGATGTCAGTTTTGACCCGGAATCGTCCACCGTGTGTTGCCAATGAATATGTAACTCAATGACTGTTGTTATAAGAACGATTTTTAATTGACGATAACAATTTAATTTAAATTGCTAGAAGAACAAATGATGTACAGTTAATTTTTATAATACTCCTAATATCGATATTTTAATGGAAATTGTATTGAAAATAATATAATTTGATTGTTTTTTTTATATTATTTTGAATTGAATTATTTATACAATATATTCAAATCTGTAGATGATATCCACGATATGGCGTATATCAGATTTTATAATTTCGTAAAATAAATATTTATAAATAATTATAAATATATGCCTGTACCCGCGAACTCTGTTTCGCCTAAAAAAATAAATAGTCAAAGGTTTTTTGAAGTTTATTTACGCAATAAATTTCTGAACGCACCCTGTTTGACAGATACGAAGTTTCTAAAGTTTGTTTGGGAATATGAAATTATTGTTTTTTACTATTCTCCATGTAATTTCTTACCACTTAAATCTTGCTTGGAGTTCTACAAACGTTTAAATACCCAACTTAGCCAAATAAAAAAAAAACGTCATTTCATTTCTATATATAAGAGAAAGAACTATCACTAATACACATATTTTTGTCTGACTGGTCAAATTATGTGCCTTAAGGTTGAATTTTCTCTATATGTATATATGTTGCCTTCTTAATACAATACAGCATTAACTCAAAAATAACAAATTTTTAGAAATAGACTTTAATGTTTTAATTATAAAGATACATTTCAAAAATTAATGATTTATATGTTAGTGCATTATTATATTAAGTGTGTGATATATATTTTACGATTTAATAATTTAACTTTCTATTTAATTGTTAAATTATTTACTTATATTTTAACAATATGCACGTATTTTAAAGAGATGCAGTTGTTTCATTAGTGCCTACATATGTATTTATATAATAAATTCAGAAATATATACTTGAGACTGGTGTTGTATAAGAATATATTGATATTATTCCAGTCTATATTCAATTCAATTCAAATTCAAAATATCTATTCATGTAGGTCTATTACAGACTGTTAAATATGGTTAAAGTAGTTCTCCAGTTATATATATATATATATATATTGTTATATAATTAATTTTATAATTAATATTAATTTACATAATATCTCCTATGTGTTAATAGCCTAAATGTTATTCTGATGTATAAAAGCTATGTTACTGTAAAGTTTCATCAAAATCCGTTCAATAGTTTTTAGGTGAATTCAAAATATCTTTATTCATGTAGGTCTATTACAGACTTATGACATCAAATCTATCAGTTCGAAATGATATCGAGATGAGAAGAAGTGGCAAGAAACTCAGTTCGTATTCTTTTCAAATAAATGTGCACATGATTACAATAATACAAAATAAGAAACATCCAACCATCCATCCATCCATCCATCCATCCAAACTCACAGACATTCATGTTTATAAATTAGTAAAATACAGAAGTATTTCTATCTGTCGGTAAATAATCTCCGATTGATCTTAATGAGAGAAGAAGTAAGAAGGCAGAAGGAAGAAGGTATGAACTAATAATTGTTATAAAAACTGACTAAACGATCTAATCAAAAATATTTATCGGTGCATATAAAAAAAAACTATTGCTCATTTTTTTTATTTATGCAACAACCACCGAAATATAAATGTAACAATTGTATTATGTAGATATATAAAATCAATGTATATAAATAAATTGTGATTGTAAACACTGAATGCCATACATCCAAAGCGTTTTATATATATAAAAAAGTTATATTGTATAATTTTAATTTATAAGTAAAGTTAGAATTGTGTTACCGTTGTTATTAAGAATGTTTATTGTATTATAAATTATAAGTGTATAGAAATAAGATTGCAATTTGAAGATCACAGTAAAGAGGTAAGAATACAAGAATATTGTTTTATTTTTTTCCTTAAAAATAATAAGTGTTATCATTACATAGTATAAAACAAAGTCGCAATCGCTGTCTGTCCGTCCCAATGTATGCTTAAATCTTTAAAACTACGCAACGGATTTTGAAGCTGTTTTTTTTTAATAGATAGGAGTGACTCGAGAGGAAGGTTTATATATATAATACATGTACACCCGGGCGAAGACGGGGCGAGTAGTATTAGTAATAAATAAAATATACAAATTCAAATTCAAATTCAAAAATAATTTATTCATGTAGGACATTTTAGCCGCTTATGAACGTCAAATTTTTACATTATAATTTTATTTTTTCCCTACCGTCCAGTTCGGTATATAGATCCAATTGAGAAGAACTGGCAAGAAACTCAATTGAATTACTTTTTTTTTAAAGCCAGTTTATTTACAATGTATTTTTATATAGGTGTCTATGTCTAACATTAAATGAAAATTCAGTGCATGAACAACTATTGCCATGCACGCTCGTCATTCAAGTAATCGTTTAGTGAGTAATAGGCTTTGCTCAGTAAATATGATTTAACATATGTTTTGAACTTATTTAATGGTAATTCCAACATATCATACAAACTCGACGGACTTAGATATAGCACACTGTCTTACTTTCCTATAATAACGGGTTCGATCCCTGTACGAGACAAACTTCACAGGAGACAACTTCATTAAATAAGCAGTATTTCACTCAATGGACTGTAGACTCTCATTGCTATCTACCAACCAATCCGATTATACTGATCGCGGAGGAACCAGGAACGAGAAAAAATTGTATTCGTCGACGTCAAAAAATTAAAGACTTAAGTGTGTCATACATTTATTCTGTAAAACTAACCCAAATAATATTTTTCTTTCGGACTACTCTAATACTGTTTGTCCACTGGCTTTTTCAGCATCACCTTGTCTTGCTTGTCCAGGGTTATTGTTATATCAATAGAGGTTGGAGGTTATATATTTCTTCTTGAAACTGAAAAATTTATTATTTAAATAGCCGCTTATGAATGTCAAGTTTTTGTATTAATATTTTCTTCCCCGTCAGTTCTGCCAGTACAGTATACAGATTCAATTAAGAACTTGGCAAGAAACGAGTGATTTTTGTCTAAAAGCCAATTTACTTGCATTGTATATTCATATAGGTGTCTATGTCTAACATGTGCAGATTTTTAAAAATAAATTTTAAAAAATACTCCTCCTCATTCAGAAAACTGCCGTGATGTGTCTGCACTCCAAATGAGGGTAATGCAAGGTGTCAGCCTGCTAGTGTCACCAGAACGTTATGTTTATTTTATGTTTCAGTGTGTAGTTATGTTTGATGTTTATTTATATATGGTAGTATGTCGTAAATGTTCACTCTGTGTTATCCGCCTAGGTCTATGTATGTATGTGTATTATTATTATTATTTTATTATATTTATTACCTATGAAGGTATCCGCAGAAACCCACGTCGTCGTCGTGGCACCTCGTCACGACATATGCTGAGCGGAGACCTATTTGGTACTGTAAAATTAATATAACGATAAAATGTAAATTAAAATTTAAAAATTATTTTCAAATAAAACAATTTTCTTCTTTCTTTCTTTTTAACATTTTTTAATTCAATTTAAAAATTATTTATTCATGTATGACATTTTACCTGCTTATGAACGTAATTTTTTTATATTATAATAATGTTTTCACTACCGTCCAGTTCAGTATATAGATCCAATTGACCAATTACTTTTTTTTTTAATTCCAGTTTATATAGGTGTCTATGTCTAACATTAAATGAAAATTCCGCGCTTGAACCACTAGCCATGCACGTGTCATTTAAGTAATCGTTTAGAAATAAAATATTAAATTTTGTCTATGATAGTTGTGAGGTCGTTATAGCTAATATAATTTTTCCGATGTGGGTATGTACGTCAGTAACCCGCAGATATTATCCGGATAGTAAATTAATCACATCTATAAAATTTATGACGTCATTACCTAACCTTTAGAAAGGTCCTGTGTTATGTTTTTTTTTTTTATAACACAGGGGACAAACGAGCATGCGGCTCACCTGATGGTAAGTGATTACCGCCGTCCATGAGCACCCGCAACACCAGGGGAATTGCAAGTACGTTGTCGGCCTTTTAAAAAGGAATA